CGAATTTTTACCGGGGGCCCTTTCGAAAGGACCAACGAAGAAAGTAGAAAGTCGGGCAACACGCGTGTAATTACTTTGAACGTTGAATAATTTAGTTAACTCAACAAAATTGACAATTTATTTCAATGTTCAAAGATCTGAAATTTTTTAAATCATGTAGCATACTAATATACGTATTAAAAAATGTATGTCAATATCGCGATTCTTATTATGAAGAACAAACCGACAATTTTTAGAGGAGAACTACTGGACGGGAAAAGTGGATTGTTACGTTGCGTAAATTGTTCTCTTAAACGATGGCCGTAGGGTCTCGCGAGGGGGTTGAAAACCGCGGGAGGCATTTCAAGTACTACCGGCGCGAAGATTTACCGCGCATTCTGCGAGCAATTAAAGCCCCGTGGCGAGACGGGGCGGCAGGGTGAAGGGGGGAGGAGAGGATGGATCCAGCGCTAACTAATTCCCGATGGTATTCTAAATGCCGTGCGAGAAGTTTCTCGCTCGATTCTGGAAATGTCACGTTCCAGGGACGGCACATCCGCGAGCGTAACGAAATTCCCGGAGTTCTCGGCGGTGCTCGGGGCCTGGCGTATCGCGAAGGGGCCCGTTTAATCGGCGATCGGGTTCGTTGAATTAGCCAGAGACAGCCAGCGTGCGTAAATCACGCGCGGAATCGTTAATTAGCCGCGCGGAACGAGCGGCGGGTTTGTGGAAAATGTCAGCTACCGAGAGGCGCGCGCGCATGCGCTTGACAAATGCAAAAAGACGTTTCGGCGCGCGCGATTCGCTCGCCAAGGTGCCGAACGGGGTAGTGGGGAGGGGGACAGAGCCAATATCGGAATCACGGGATGTAATTTGTCGCGATCTCTCTCGACGGGTCCGGTGTTAATTTATCGAGCTTCGTAGAATTCACGTGTCGCTCGAACGCCGGCAGATTAGGCCGCGCGGATAAGGCCAGCCTATTAGCGTCGGTTCAAATGAGATTTCCGAGTATGCACGGAGGCTGACCGACGTATTGTAACCCGCATGCGCTTTGCATACATTTGCGTGTCGCGTGCTTGTTTGCTCGCGCGGAAACAGGAGGAAGGTGTTTTTTTATTTCTTGACGAATGCACCGCGACGGGTGGTCGAGCTCGATTTACTTTCTAGCGTTAAGGGGCTATTGCTGTCTAGACTGTCATTTTTTATCACTTCTTTTTTTAATCATGTATCGAGATTTCGAGTCAGGAACAGAAATATTCAACGATGCACTTATTTTAAAGCATTCCTGATGTCGGAAGCGTTACTTAAAATTATTAGGGATCTTTCGTTTTAAGTATTACATGCCGGTCACCTGTGATCATCACGATAGCAAACGTGTTATGTCTTCAGAAACATCGTCGAGAAGAACAGTCTGTTCATTAACGTTCTTCATCCGTAATACATACAAACTACTGCATTAGGATGCTCCTAATTCAATAGAAGTGACACCATTTGTTGTTTAGCTGAGTTCTATTGTTTCTCTGTAAAACAACTGGGTTTCTGCTCGTTTACAAGCATATAAACGTTATCATTAGCGTGTTTCCGCGTACTTTTAACGCTTTCGCGGGTCCTGCAGGTAGAATCGAGAAAAACGTATCAGAACCAAACGTTTGGTCGAGTCATTCGTCTACACTGACGAGGATTACTGTTAAGACGGGTCGAAACAATGGCTACCTAACTAATCCAGCTAGGACTACTTATTCCCGATCTATCCTCCGGGGCTGGTTTTCACCGAAACATTGAAATTAATGAAGTCGTCTGACTAGGGCCGAGAGCAGAGTAAATTAGAGATACATGGCAACCATTAGAATACTTAACGAGGACGTCATGGTGGGAAGCAGTGCGCGGGTGTGATGATGAATCACTGCCGGGGCTAGCTCACCGTGGAGCGCGCCCAGGAATATTAAATTAAGTTTACTTATTGTTAGCCAAAAAGTTTCAGGCGCCGTCTCTTCTTTCTTCCTCTGCGGTTAAATCCCGTCTTTCCTCTCTTCGATTTTGTCCCCCCCTTATGACTTCACTCTTTCTACGAAACACACGGAAGCAAACGGAGCAGTCTGGTACCGACCCACGGTGTTCAAAAACGCCGAAAAATTGACCAAAATTTAATTTGTCTAGTCACATTTAAGATGATAATTCATCATGACAATTATATATCAACAGATAAAAACTCTTAATTTTAAAACTATCCATTTAATAGAATGTTCCATAAATTTTTAAAAATCTGCTCGATGGAATTTTTTCCAAAGCTGAGTTTGTTGTTTAACAACGAACTTGTTTAAGTTCTGAGCTCATCCATTTTGTACGTATTAATGACGTAAACATTTATGGTACCGTAATATCGAAAATAAGGTTGATTCAATTTCATACAATTTACCTGTATTTACCTTCGTCTCTTATTATAGTACGTACGATTGCATAACTTTTTCAAGTTGAATGCAGTTGTGCGTGTTTACCGATCAAAGGTCACAGATTGCACATACAGTGCCGCGCAAAAGTTTCCAAACGGGCAACTTTCTAGCTTTCTATTGGTGGGAAAATCAAGATGAATTTTAAATAATATAAAAGTAAAGTATCGATTCAATTCGCGAGCCTTCGTTCTTTAACCTATTCAGGCCTGCTGTGCATTATAATTGTGCATGGCCATAAATGTCACGTAACAACACTTAATCCTCGTTTAAGCGTCTTTGGTGACAACTCGTGACATTGGTACGGGAAAAAACATTGTTAAACTTTATTCGATCATAGAGGTATCGCAATGAAAAAAGAGGAAATCAAATTGTACAAAACGAAGATAGTCTCGACAGAATAACGTTATCGTTTAAGTTATCTAAGCAAACATTGAGAAGCTGTGATTGAACAATTTTATAATAACTAGACTGCGGATCTTTATGCAAATTCACATTTTTATTAATAGAATCAATGAAACGGAAGCTTTGTAAAGGGTTGTCTCAACCCCCAAATATAATAATTCGTATCTTACTTTATGTATTTCTTATTCTGTAGTTTTTTGAGGATTAAAATAAACATCCGCAGTCTAATAATAACTATTGTACTCTAATTTTTGCCATTTCTTCTACTGTGGAGTCTCGTTTAACGATATCGTAACAAAATGAAGAATTTCGAACGATCCTTTATAGTATTTCCGCCCACCGCCGAAAACTTTACGCGAAAAGGATCGACGGGGTCTCCTTGGAGTCGATTTCGATTCCGTGGGTGCTCGCGACAGCGTCCACCCTCTGAAGAAGCGACGAGAAGTCGCACCGCAAAAAACGTACAGACGGAGCAGCGAGGAAGAGAACTCGGGGCGACAAAAATGGACTTTCAGGGAGATAGAGGACCGACTGTATTTTTTTTCTGTCGTTTACCTTCCCTCCCCCCCCCTTCCTCTCTCTCGCCGGGGACGTTCGTTTTCTCTTATTTCCGTCCTCCCCTCCGGGCGAAGTCCTTCGGGTTAGCGTCTCCTCCGGAGTTGAAATATACAAAATGAAATATGAAATAATGGTTCGTGCCTTGTGGCTGGTTGAAGGCACGGGCGCACCCATATCTACGCCCCCATGCGCCTATGTACCTATACGGGGCCCCTTGCATGTACGGGCCGATCCCGCGTACATATGTACGCGGCACACCGTATACATCCGCCTCGCTCAAGTTTTTCGTTCTTGTCGTGAACATCTTACGTTCGTATTAACCCTTATCCCTGCTTAATGATATTCCGGCCTACCATCCCGGGTATATTGAACGCAACTAAGGCAGATTCCACCGTCTCGTCTCCCGGCACGGCCAAGCCCCTCCTGTAATTCGTATCTACGCTTCCTCCCCCGTTCGCCGTTTTTCCGATTCCATCGACCACCGACGGGCAATTAGGGGCCCCGAGTCTCGCTCGATGAATTAAGAGTATCGTCAACCGTGAATCGTGCTCGCGAAATCTACCTTTCGTCGATACGTCGGCCACAGTCGCCAGAAATCGCGGAAAACTGATCAGAAAATACGATCGTTTCCGTGCACGTATCGTACAGTGTGCCCCCTTTTGTACAGAGCTTGAACTCAAACGATTTTTTCGCTTTTCTCGATATTTCGAAAAAACAATTGATCCTGCCAAGATGTATTTATTGTTGAATAATAAAACGTGTTGTATATGAGAAGCATTTTCTTTTCGAATGTACAAACGAAAGTTTAAGACGACTGGGGTGTCGAACCACTGATTTATTCCATGCATTACATACATATTTACAACTAGCCTTATCTATACGTGCATTATTTAGGTGGATGCAATTAGTTTCTCAAAATAATATACTTATAAATTCTTTATTCTATGCTCTTAACGTGTTATTAATACAGTTTGCATTACTTTTCACGCTGCTTCTGAATTCAGGAACCACGGTAAGCATCTTTGCAACTAAAGGCGAAAACTTTATGGTTACGAACGATCAAACGTTCAAAGTATCCTTCTTAGATGATATGAATAATATATGAAAATATTCCAGTACCTTTTCCGTAAAATAACTACCATTGTGCAGATTTTCGTTTTTTTTTAAATATCTTAGCTCATGATATAACCAAACTTATATATATTAAAAATATCTTTCTCGATTTCGGATAACCTGTTCACAAAATATTATCCACGCAGTGTACGTAAAAACTGTTGTTCGTTGGTCAACAAAAACTGCGTAATCGGTAGATATTATGCGTTGGAAAAATTCGTAAATATAGCTAAATATATCCACAAAACCTGGAATCAATCGCTCTTTAATTCGCAAAAAAAAAAAATTACAGATATCTTTTTTTCGTGCCTGTAAGGTAGAATGGCCCCTCAATTTTCTAAGTAGTTTCCGGTCGTTGCGGGACACCCTGTGTGCAGTTGAGCGGCTACGACCGTAACCGTTGCCTGGATTTTTGTCCCTCGAAAACCGTGTAACGTCGGGTGGTTCAAAAAATAGCGAACAGCACGGACGGTAACGGACAGACCGCGTGTATTTCAGGAAAGAAATGGCGAGGGTTGACCCCGCAGGACAGAAGGCCATACGTCGAGGAAGCGGAGAGGCTGAGGGTCATACACATGCAGGAACATCCGAACTACAAGTACAGGCCACGGCGCAGGAAACACGCGAAACGGGCCCCGGGGGCACCGTCCTCACCTCCGTCCGCAACCAACACCGTCGGCAATAGGTCCAACCCCGCCGGTGCGACGATTCATCATTCCATGTAAGTCGATATCTTCTCTCCTCGGTTCGTGTCGATTTTTCAAGATCAACCGACCACGGTCGGCGAATTAATCGCTGGGGCGCAAGGCAATACGCCACGGATCGTGGATCCGACCAACGCGATACACAGCTTAACCCTTAGACGACCAGCTTGACCTTTTTTTTCCACGCAAAATACTCGACGATATTTATAACAAATCTCAAAAGAGAATCCAAGAGTCTGCTTAGCAGATACAGATACAGGGTTCTCCAATGGGGGGCGAGAAAACTGTATTAAAGGAACACAATTTTCATCTCATCAGGAATCAAGTTTACTAGAAAGCTTTGTTTCAACAATTTCACGAGCCTCCCTATTTACACCAATCTGTATTTTCTGTTTCTTTGATACGGTAAACAGGTCATTGTCGTTTTGTCCGTTTAAGGTCCAAGATGGACAATTACCAAGGCATTCCTCAAATCCCATGGGGCGGCCATTCCCCGATCTCGTCCCTGTACCATCATCAGCAGCAGCAGAGTATCCAGGAGTACAAATCGGAGAACAATTCCCTGTACGGTAGCCCTTATACGCCTATCATTCACACACCGGACATATCTCCAGTTGCTAGTCCAGAGCCTGATGGTGAGACCTTGTACTCGCAATAATTAACATTCTGGAAATTGTTAAGCTGACCAAAGAATCGTTTGGAGAAATTCACCATTCGCGTATCGTGTTTGCGATTGCATCGTGAACGTATTAACGCATCGTTGATCGACTATTATCTCTTTAGTGTTTCTTTATTTTTCATTTGTTTCAAAACTCACGAAAACAGCAGTTCCCTATAGTATCAATCAATCTTTATTTCCACGTAATTTACACACATGGTAGATGTCTTATTAAAGTATTCTTGAATCGTCTTTGGACCCAAAACTTCGTCGTATCTATTAAAATAAAATCTAAACAAATGACACCTTCTTGATCCTACGATTACCGTCATATTGATCCAATCATCGTATTGATGCTTCATTTATTTCACGCGAATGAACGCTAAGATGAACGATGTGCCAGTAGCAAAAGATCAGTCGACAAGTGTCCGATCAACAATGCGTTAACGAACGACTTTTTACGCCCGTCCAGAGATTCGATCGATGTATTTGGTAAAAGTGATTCGATCGTTATCGGTGTTTACGTTGCCGGAGAAATATGTTTCGCTGGAATTACCGAGGGATTAATCTTGATCAGGTGACGGAACGCATTTGCCATCCAACCAAAACCCAGATCCCGAACGAGATCTGATGGAGGGTACGTCGAAGCAGCACGGCGAAATGAACGAGCAAACGAAACGGTATACCTTTATGAGCGATAATCAGCTGCACACAGGTCATGCTGGTGGTACTAGCATATCGTCGTGTCAGAATTCTGGTGCTTACACGGACACTCTGACTTATAAAAAATCGGTGAGTAATTTCTGTCTTCGGACGAAGGAACACTGCTTTTCTACTCCTCGCGCTTCCCATTCCGCGTCGATCGTTTGCTCGATAAGGCATAAGCAAATTTACTGAAATTTTTCGGATTTGTCCGAGGGTTTATTGAAAGCTACTGCACATTTATTGCTATTATTGTTGAGTCCATACACATGTAAAATGTCGAATAGTATAGGGGAATTATCCTTGTTGCAAACCGTTTTTTATTGAGAAGGATTTTCATTGAGAAGAAGCGCTTATTGTGGATACTTTGCTATCATGCCCCATGATGGTAATTGACACTTGATAGATTAAAATTAGATTTCTAGATAGTAATAAAAAAATTATTGAGAATCTGCACCTATAATGTAAACCAGATAGCTAAATCTGCAAATGTGCAAAGTTTTAACAAAATCGGTAACCCAAAGGCCTTGCCCCCTCGTCGTTAGAGAGGACGTCTTCGAGTTAATTTGCAACGTTCCAATGTGATTGCAGTTCCAGATGAAAATTTGTTAAATTGTGTTTTCAGGTGAGCTACTTAAATTTTGAAAGGCAGCCGTCCAGCATAGCAGCGGTGGGCATAGCGAACGGTATGATGGTATCGTGTAACAAACTGCGCTCCGGATTCGAAAACGTTGGCTCTGTCACGGGCACTTTTTATCCACCAGTCGCATCCCCGCACGATCAATCGTTGCAGCACTACACGAGCACTCAGTCCTCGAAGAATGCCAACTATTCGATGCAGTCCTCCGTCGAGGGTAACTATAATCCTGTCCAGTGTGCCAATCGACAGCAGTCCATGGGGATTCGCGGAGCCGCCGAAGGTTGTTCCGGTAATGTTTCATTCATTTTTACTTACGTTGGAATGTTACACTTGGACGGATTCCAGCGACCGGAGGATATGCGCCTCGAGCAATCCTGTTTACCTTTTTCAATTTCGTTTTTCTTTCCTCTCGTTGCTCGCGCTCGACCCTCCCCGCTTATGTTTCAATATCTGAACTTTTCACCAAGTAGAATATTTCTAAGACATAAAACAGCTCTGTTCGATATGACTCTTTCAACCTACTCGATGAAACGATAAAATTGAATTATTTTTCATTTTCAGTATCTCACCAAACACACGGTAATAATTTTTCTTTCTGTTGGCAGATTCTAGGGCCCAAAATAAGACGAAAATCAAGAATACTAATTTGTTGATTGAGGCTTCGTTAAAAAGTTATTAACATTTAAAATCTCGCGCGCGCAGCTGTTCGCAGATAGCCGCTCTACAGGCGGATCTTTAAATATTAATAACTTTTAAACGAAGCCTCAATTAACAAATTACTATTCTTGATTTTCGTCTTATTTTGACCTCTAGAATCTCCCATTAAATGTTTTCCTTATTCGAACTTATGAAGGAATAATCAAAAATAAAATAAATGGCCCTCGGAGTCGCGTAATTACGAGTCCCCTTGCCCAATTGGTTGCAGGTGTGTCGCATCGGTACCAAATGACTCACCACCAGGAGTACCAGACGGAGACCGGCGGTACGGGTCAGCAGCATCCTATATTGGGTCACATGGATCCAGGAATGACCGCCGAGGAGGAGCAACAACAGACGCTACAGCTGGAGAAATATTTCAAGTACGCTCACCCCAGCAGCGTGGGTCACAGTAGCCTGTCGTCGCAGAATATGCTCGACAGCAATCACAATTACGCTAGTGATCTGCGTTATTACGCCCCGCAGCAGTCACAGATGGACATGTCGAACTCTCAGTGCATCGTCGACGATCAGAGCAAAGACGGTCGTTGCTCGAACGTCGGTATCGGCCATACGATGGAACAGTACCACCAGGGCATGGACGTCGCGAAGTATTCCGAGCACCCGTCCCAGCAGCAACAGCAGCAACAGCACCAGCAGCAACAGCAACAGTCGCAGCAGCAATCTCAGAGCATGGAGCACGTGTCGAAACCGGACGACGATTTCAGTGTAATACTTGCCGACGTGCGCAAGACATGTTACAGTGTTACCTAGTGTTCCCATAGACATTTTTTTGTTCTTTTTGATACGGGAGACTTATCTTATAGCTGTAGTACCAAGAACCGTAGGTATATAGCGTTTACAAAGAATCCGGTGCTTATACACATTTTTATACTCCGTACACACACTTTCCAGTGCTGATCGTTCTTAACCGTAGTTTTGCGTTAGAGGATGACCCATCCGACTTTATCGTTGGGAACGTATAGGAGGTCCTAGTGATCATGATATAAGCGGAGAGAGGAATAAATTTAATATACATAGTCTTTGAAACAGTCGACTTTAAACGTAAGTATACCACTTGGATATCAGACTAAGTAGAAATAACGAGTAATGGACGGACCAGGAATCGTACAGTAGCTGGATTTTAGAATCGTTTCGAATTGCTTCGAATCTTATTGTGTGTCGCAAAACAGTGATTCTTAAAAAAAGTCTTAAAAATCTTGATCGCCTTGAAAATTTTATTTCCCATTTTCGACTTATTTTTTTTACCCCTTCCTGGTTGTACCATGATTAGTGGGACATCCTGTATACGTTAAGTGATTCAAAAGTTTTCTCTCCTGGTATCATTATCTAGAATAAAAATATTTTAAATAATTTTGAACAAATAACTCTTGTTGAAAACGTTATTTTGAAATATTAAAAATAGAACAAATATTTGAAGCGATAGAGTTAGATGATTCATCCTGTTTGTTATATTTTGGATAGAAGGAGCGGAGTGAGATTCTCGAAACACATTTATTCAACGATACGTAAAATGACACGAGAAACCATCAAATATCTCTTTCGTAATTCGTTACAAAAAATATACAGAAATTGTTTCTACGAGCTCACTGTGCTTTTTCCTCCGAATATAATTCGAGTAGCGATAATTCAGTAGAAAATCGAATCTCTCCGAAGACGTCCATGCGCAAAATACTTCCCGAAACTAGTACGAAAAGTAGAACTCGTGATAAATAGTAGCGATGTGCCAGTATACGACATTGTCATTTTTGTTTGCAAATGGAAAAGGAAATGATACACAGGTGAAAATTGAATGGTTCTAGTCCAATTTCCTGTAGTTTAACGTTTTCTGCGAGTGAGACGATACACCTATTTTTTGATTCGTTTTGTCATTTTTAGCGTAAAAGTATTAAAGTAGGGGTGTCGAAACATGTGTACTTTATTTGAAAATACATCACAGCTTCGACTTCAGCTACGTGGAAGCCGTGAATACTCGTGCAAACTCGTACAGGTTGTTCACCAATTCATGCTACAAATAATCTAGACGCGTAACAGATGTATTTATTAATATTTATTAAACATTACTATATTTAGCAAATTTTTAAGTAATCCACAAAATTGATCAAGTGTAACATTTTTTGAAAACGTAGAAATTATTTGAACCTTGAACTAGGGTAGTTCTGAATTAAAAAAATCCCCCGTAAGATTAATTTTGTTAATTATATTTGTTTTAGGTAACAAGATAGAAATAAATCAGGGAATTCTAAACGATACAAAAATGTTTATATGTTTAGAAAAACTACCATAATCCCGACCTAATCTCAATCTAAATAACAAACAGAAACCGAAATATTTCGTGTACTCGCACACCGCTAAATATCATCATCTGTTTTCGAACGTTCCGTTAAAATTTTTTCACACGCAGTACGTTTACTTAATTTATATCATAGTTATCGTTACTTTCAGCAACGGAATCGCTGAAACTCACGACATTATTGTTGAACTATTTTTTTTATCCTCCTATGCACTCACGGTACCGCATGGCACTGTATATTTAGAACATACCAGTATATCTCACTGCGAAAATAGATCGAACATATTTCCGTAGCAAATTAAACGTATCAATTTCTCTTAGCGATCGATCCTACGGCAGGCTACTTAAAAGATGGTGTTCCGTTCTATTTGTCGACATCTTGAATAAGAACAATCCATCATTTAGCACTGAGACCGTGACATTTAGTCATCTTATTTATAACATTCATGAAAAATATATGTACATGAAATGGAAAATTAAATATATATATACACAGTTTTGTGATAGTTTAACAGTTAGACGACGGGTGGAAAAATGTTGCCATTCAAAATGGCCGCGCGAACTCATAAAACCGCGTTCACCGAAATTGCAATTCTCGCATTATCGAACGTTCGTTTATTGAAATTTCAAACAAGTCACGAATAGTATATATACATATACAAATAACATAATTCATGTCAGGATATTTATTACGTTCAAAAGTAAAAAAACCGGGTCAATGGCTGTATTTTATAAGTTTTGACTTTAAAATCATTGATTAAAAATTTATGGAAAACTGTGCGTTGAATATGTCGGCGTAAAATTGAATGGCCACTCAAGGCCATCGGAGTTGCTATCCCCGTCACTTTATTCGATCAACCTGTTGCTGTCTATGATTTCGAACTACGATTCCACGTCCCGTCGACTAAATGTTAAGAAACTCGCGTGAAAAAAAAGAAGTACTTATCGAAAAAAATTGTTACACCCAGTAACGAAGATATTATCGAAGTACCTTGTTTCCAATAATCGTACATTAAGTTTTTCTCGTTGACCATCACATGTGTATAAGCACGATCTCTTACTTTTCCTCTGTTCAGCCGACTGAATTGAAATTCGCTGTAAATGTAGCATAAATAGCAAGAACGAATTTTTTACTCGCGCAGGCTTTCTACTTCCGTTACTCTTAACTATCTCTATGTAGCATATGATTATACGTAGCGTGGCAATAAACGTGGATATTTTATTATCGTTCGATATTGAATTTGAATATTTTATAAGCGATGGAATCTTAGGTAAGTGTAATGAAACGCTGAGAAGTACTAAATTATTTTATAATTACTGTATCGTACTTAATAGAAACAATTATCAACATTCATTTATGTATCCCCGTGTATTTCTCGACCATTCCGATCGGATTTCTGTTCAATTTGTTATATTTAAGTTGATTAATTTTAATTTGTCATGGTGCACCCAGCTGTGGGCCCCATACGAGGAACGAGTGATTCGCGTTTGACATATTATATGTTATTTAAGGTTACGAACGTTTACGCATGCGTCGAACGCAAATTACACACGATTATTATTTATTCATTCTTTTTATTAAATATATATAAAAAATATGTGTATAAGTTACAATGTCATGTGTAAAGTTGAAATCATATACGGTGAGTTACATCAAGTTCTGATTCGGTGTGTCGATAGAAAACATTTTAATTGCTAGAGCATACTCTCCATTTCCTCCTTTATTGTATAATTCCCAATCGCCTTACCCTTCCCCCCTCCCTCCCCTTCCCATATACAAAACAAAAAATTTCCGCAACAATGTTTACAAGTTACCTTGGTTAATCAGTACATTTGTTATGTGAGAGAGGACTAACATTGAGTGAGTGACTCTTTCAAACAGGAACAGTTGTTTGAAATATTTCTCTTTGGACCATGTTAGAATTAGTATTTATACCCTCATTATTCATGTGTGTATTCCTTATGTTTTAAACATGCACATTGATGACACATATAATTTGTTGGACACGACTTTAGCTATTGGAACAATGAGAATGGGGCATGGGAGTCTTAATCAAAAGATTGCGTCCAACATAGTCCTTCTATCTATTTTCGAGGAGTGGAGAAAAGCCCAGGCGCCATGTTGCCTTATTTTTATATATCAACTTATTTTTCTGGCTACCATTGTAACCCTTAAAACGTAATCTTTTGATTAATATCACCCTCTCCCTACTTTCTTATTGACCCAGTAATTAAAGCGGAGTCATTTATTGGAAGTGCTAACGACAATATTTCAAATATTTTGCAATTTACCTATGGTTTGTTTGGTAACTATACAGTGTGTTCTGCCACCTCTGGGAAAAATTTCAATGGTAGATTCTAAAGACCAAAATGAGACGAAAATCAAGAATACCAATTCGTTGATTGAAGCTTCGTTAAAAAGATATTAATGTTTAAAGTTAGAGAGTCACTATCGCGCGTACGCACAGGCGGAACTTTAAACGTTAATAACATTTTAACGAAGCCTCGATCAACAAATTGGTATTCTTGATTTTCGTCTTATTTTGCCCTCTAGAATCTCCCGTTAAAATTTTTCCCATAGGTGGCCGGAACACTCTGTATGTATATGTATTCATATACGTATATACACATGTACAAATTTATATTGCTATTCGCAAACTTAACTCGTTACGGTCCATGTACAAAATTACTCTGTCGAGTCACGTCGTACTATCTTATTCGTGTACGCGTTTAACAAAGTTTGTGACAAACATTGAGTCATTTTCGCTTCTTCAATAAATACGGTTATTAGGTGGTAACAAATATACGTATATCGAGCCAGTAACATCGTCGAATAATACTTAGCACTTACACGGTACAAATTTCATAGGTATCAGATTACAGACGTAAGTATGTGCAATTCATCTTTCTTATACTCGAAGATTCATTAGATACGATTTATATTCGTGTGGAAGCGCGGAGAACTACTTCGTGTGTGCATATATAATACGTATATTATTAAATTGGACAGATATTGCAGTCTTGTTTGTAGCGATTTACTATGAAATGTATACTGTCGTTTCTCTTTTTTAAATGCAAAGCAATTTCTTTTTTTTTTTATACAAATAGCAAACTCTTTATACAAATTGATAATTTCACTTGCAGAAATATTGCAAATCTTATACTACCGACTGTACACGATTCGATTCGACTGGAGCCCTTATATACAAACCTAATTTAATTATGTGCCTTCTTTGATCGTTTGTATTTACAGCAGGTCGCAAAAATATTCGAACACTTACAATCGCGAAATTTTAATAAAATACAAAGGATTACGATAGCAAAATTTTAAGGAACGCAGCAATTATTTATGTAACATAAAGATCTTATAGTTCATGTTTGTAATAAATGTTTCAGAATTGACTATACATGTTGACACATCATTCGCAAATATTGTTAATATAATTTTTACGTCTTATTGTGTTCATAATATTTTGAACGATAATTATCTCAAAATTTTCGAAATCCCGCCCAAGACGGGAGTATCGAGATCTCGATCGATCCCATCCGATCCCGTCCGACTTTTACCGAACCCGAAATCTCGAGATCCAGCACACAGCTAGTAACAGTTTATTTCATACACTTTGCTTAATTCACGTTTTTAATCGTAACTATTTGAATACTTTTGCGACCAAGTATACGTTACCACGCGCGTCTTACACTATATACAATTAAAACTCGACTTACACATATAAATAATAACTTTACAAGTCATGTATAAAATATTCATTACAGACACATATAATGCATTCTGGCATTGCACATGAGTAAATTAGACGCAGACGTCTTTACACGGAAGTTTAAATGGATTATTTGTAACCGATTGGTTGTTCTTACTGCGTACACGCGAATATTTAATGTCAGCCAATGCCAATTGTACCTGACAGCTGTAAGCAGTAAGAAAAGACAATGGTTTTCAAGCTCATCAAGAGGCCCGAACGTCCTCGAACGACTATACGTAGATCCTTTATTGATGAATTATTATTTCGAGACAATATAGAGTAAAAGTTGGATATATGCCCGAAAACTTTTACTGTACATACGTGTAATTCCTTTCATTAGTAATTTTAAGATATATTGTGCATATTGTGTACTACATTAGGAATGATTAGCTTCTTGATAAATACACTAAAAGATCCAACTTGGGAATAATAACAGGATAAAGAGTTAATTAAAACTTGCATATTATAAGATATGATATAAGTCTTTCGGGGTGTAGTTTCTTTCTTTTTTTTTTCTAAGTTTTTCTTCGTTCGTTATACTTTTTTTTTTATAACAAAGTATGTGAATTATTATGCTAGTAAAATACAAATATTGCTGTTACAAATGTATCCATTCGGTTGAAGTCTATAAAAGTGAGAATATGTCTAAAAATTTTATAACAGTCGGCTTGAAATTGTCCAACTTATTCTAGTTTTGTAATTTTTTTTTTTTTTTTTCTTTTTTGAAAGTATGCAGTGAAAAAAATTAAAATTTGCATTAACAAATAATGGAAAATATGTTACTATGTTAAATAGGAAACCATTGCTCGTGAATCATTTCAAGCAAAAGTTTTCATATGTTTTGCTAAAAGTGAGCACTGCAAGTAGTGCACAATTATTAAAATAATTTTTATGTACATATGTAATAAGTTTAAAAATTTGATGAGATCAATGATAATTTATCAAATGTACATAAGTAACAAAAATACCCTTTACAGTAATTCTTTACTTTTATAGATATTGGAACATTGATATTAGATAAATGCAATTCCCCAAATAAAAAAAGAGAAAATTTCATTGAATATGACTGTACACGATTTTTGTTGACGTAAAAATGGTAAGTTATTCTGCAGAAAATAGTTACAGATTTTTATACTTCGAACGGATATTCTTCGAAATGGCACCCGTAGTTGATCGATATGAAATTTGGAAGGATGTCAAATGTAAAATTTTATCTTCGAGAATTAAGTAATTTCATAGCCGACTCTATTACCAGCCTAGCTAAACGAGAAACAGTAAAACCGCGAGTCTGATTTTGCTTTTGATAGAAATAGTACGCAAAAATCGGACTCTCACTCGACGAAATAAAAAACAGCCAAACTTAATCTAATTTGATTGATTTAAAATTTTATATTTAGCATCCACCACCTAGCCTCTCCAAATTTCATGTCAATCGGCCGCGGGTATCATTCGAACGAAGAACCCTTTGAACAACCTAACCCTTCTTTTTAAATCAAAATCTACATATCTACATAGTCCTTATGTGTCATTCGTCCCACAAACAATTTTGTTTCATTTTAGAATAATATGAGAATATAAAACATTTTTTACAAGTTTTAATACCACATTTATAAGGGGTGGCTACTTTTTTACCATCACCTTTGCTCTTGCAGAATTTTAAACCGCACGGATACCACCCAATACATAACTCTAATGAACATGTGCATGGTGCCCACATATTAGATGTGTCAGAACATCTTGTCACAAATAATGATCTCGAATCATTTGTACTTTGTTGTGTTATGGAGTTTGTGCTAAAGTTGTACACAGCCGCCATAAGTGAAAGTTCAGAGGAGCCTAATGAATTGAGAATAACATTTTACATACGATCTCGGAATTTAAAAAAAAAAACTAATATCACAGAGCATTGCACTATTCCGCAAACAACGGCCATTTTAAAACTTATTAGAATCAGTAAACTAAAATATGCTTGGAACAATGTATGACATTAACACTTGGCTGACACTTGGCTTGTACTGTTCGCATATTACTTTTCCAAATCACTATACATATTGTCCCATATTTGATGATACAGGTAACTCAATGCCTGCGGATTATTTCACTCGTGGTGATACTATAATACAGTAGTGCCCACATAAGTGACCACGCTCGGGACCGACCGCGGTCATTTATGTGGGCAAAAATGCGGTCAGTTATGTGGGCACTACTGTATTAGGTTTCCCAATGCAAATGAATTAATGCAACTTACCAGGTCTTTGAATCCACTGTTTTATGTCCTCGTTTCTAGTATAAGCAGATCCTGCAGCTTCCCCACAAAGGCTTGCAATGTGTTTAGAAATATCTTTTGATTCGGACACGTCCAAGAATAGGTCCATGGTATAATTTACATGACCCTTATCTTCTTCTGCTACACGAACAGTGCCTGGATTTTTTTGTCGCAATTTAGACATTGCATCGGAGGATATAAAATCCACTTTGAAAAAGTGATTCACAAAGCACAAAACTTGATACTGGTTTTGGCCGCGTTCTTCCTCGCCGAGAACCAAAGCTTTTATAATCTGTACTTCCTATAGAGAAATTTTAAATATGATTTAAATATGTATAAAACATATTAACAAGACAATTGATTTTAAAACAAATAGTTACATTTTTGAAGTCAATAAGCTGTGTCACCAGAGTACCATCTGAGCATTGAAATTCTAAAGTAATTACATCTTCCGTAACATTGGATGAAATTGTTTCCAATAGGATATCACCACCCTATAAAACGGGAAAAAACAAATGACGTACAATTATTCGTTCTTAAATGCTTATATTGTAAATTCTACTTTTCTTTTTAGGTTAATGTGATTAACTAGTTCGGTAAAAAAATATATCATTTAATGTTTTACAAAGAATTATTTTCACAACTACATTTATTTCGATTAACAAAATTATTGATGACAAAACGAATCGCATAAGTTTGTACCTGATTTTTGACATTTATGAGCAAGTGAGTCGTACAAACACCGTACAAATATTGCAATAAGAAGCAGATTGAGAATAATTCGTTGAGTTTCTTCATTGTTGCATGTTGTAACTGCGTCTAATGCAGTATCGATAACCGTTGCAATTAACTTTGATGATTCGACATTTATTTGATTGATAAATACTTTAAATATAACCTATTCGTAAGAATATTCTACTCCACACTCCATCGCTGTCGGACACGGTCAACGTACCTACACATTCAGACCTTAAAGACATCGATGATGGGCTATTTAGATTAGCAGACGAATCGCTTAAATTTGAATTTTATTTTTTAATATTTTAACATGTTTATTGCCACTTCAAACTTATATTGATTCTTTAATAATACTTTGAACGAACGAACTCTAATATTTGTAGTATAATAATAAAATAACATGTATAAATAAAACTTAGCACTATTTAATATTACAACTCAATAGTTTGAACAATTTTTAACAATATGTAGCATATGAATGTAGCATATGGAGAATTTTAAAATTCTCCAAAATATACGCATGGAATTTCAGGGCAACATTTTTAACCTCACATTTTCGGAAAAGAATTTTTTTCTCGAAAGTGCCTAGGATTTCGGGGGTATGTCTGTTGACCAAAAATGATTGTAATTGACCCCCGCAACCGAAAATAATTTTTTCAGAAAGATTTGAAATATTTTAATTTTCCCCGAAAAATTTGTCTACCTATTCGAATTTTTTTCTCGAAAGTGCGTAGGATTTCGGGGGTATGTCTGTTGACCAAAAATGATTATAATTGACCCCCGCAACCGAAAATAATTTTTTCAGAAAGATTTGAAATATTTTAATTTTCGCCGAAAAATTTGTCTACCTATTCGAATTTTTTTCTCGAAAGTGCCTAGGATTTCGGGGGTATGTCTATTAACCAAAAATGATTGTGGCTGACCCCCGCAACTGAAAATAATTTTTTTTTAACGATTTGAAATTTCAATTTCGCCGAAAAATTTCAGCACCTACTCGAACGTTTTTTTCGAAAGGGCATAGGATTTCGGCAGTATGTACGTTCTCCAAAAATGATTGTAATTGAGCAGCTCAATTATTACATGGCTCGTGCGGAAGGATATGTTCCCTACCAGTCTACCACTCTGTTAGACGTTAAGGAAGTTCGTCGTTACTAGTGTCGCCGTCGATGCACTCAATTATGCCAAATCTGGCCACACTGCTAGCTAGTGATTGGACTACATTTACCAACCATTTCTATACGTTGATTAGACTGACCTATCTTTCAACCTATTGACTTTATGATACAGTTCGAAATATGTAATAGTTTAAGATTTTATTTTTAAATGTTAATTTTTCTTTAAGAAAACAAAAAATGTCGCCAATAAGAAAAAACTTACGTGATTCCAGTGGCGATTCAGGTAAAAAGAATACCACTGTTAATTCAATAATAATATTTTCTATGCATCATAAAATTGTTTAATTAGATTAATAAGTTGTGCTTTTTTATTGTCTCGAAAATAATATTCATATAAATTCTTAGGTTCAGAATCAGACAATCAGTCAGCATCCTCTAGATCAAGTTATAGCAATACTTCTAGATCTAGTAGTCAATCTATAGAAGAACAAGTAAACTTCAGACATAATTCCAAAAGTCCATCTCCAACTAAATCAGGTTCCAGACATTCAAGCGTTGGATCTGTACGAAGTGAAAAGTCTGGTTCTCGGAGGTCCAGAAGCGGTACTCCAAAATCAATTGTATCGAATAATAGCGATTCGCAAAGATCAAGATCATGTTCTCCGCAAGAGAGGACGTCAGAAAGTCCAAAATCTACAGGGTTAGTAATTAATTTATAATCTTACATTGTTAATTTATATCTAGAAAGTGGCAATTCAATATTTTCAAATAATTTATATTAATATTTTCAGAATGGTAAATTCTCCTGGTAATGCAAGAACCGAACCTACAGATTCTGAACAGAAACCAGACAGCTCTGAAGAAAATAAGGATGATAATGAATCTGAAAAATCATTAAAAACAAGAGGTTCGATAACTAGAAAAACTATTAATCAGTTGTCATTTTGAAAATAAAACGTATATTAATCTCTTTATTATGTTACAGGTAGTACAAAATCTAATGATAGTGATAGAGAAGGAAGTCCGGTTCAAAAAGAAGATAATAGTGGCTCTGCTTCAGAACCAGAAGATTTAGTTAAAAGAGCAAAGCCGTTAATAGACTCTGATTCAGAAAGTGAAACAGCAGAAAAAGAAGCTGTAGCCCCAACAGCGGATGCTCTTTTTGGAGATGCTAGTGACATTAGTACGGATGATGAAAAAGACAAGGATGAAGAAAGAAAAGAGAAGAGCCGTAGTAGAAGTAGAAGTAAAAGTAAAAGCAGAAGTAGAAGTAGAAGCAGAAGCAGAAGCAAAAGTAGAAGTAGAAGCAGAAGTAGGAGTAGGAGCATAGGCAGATCTGACAGTGGTGGGGAAGGTCCTAATCAGGCAGTCATAGAAGATGTATGTATAGAATATATTGGTTAAAAATTTATTAAAAGATGTAAATTTTAATTCATTGATTGTTCGATTAATTTTAGGATGTAGATAAGGAAAAGGAAGAAGAGCCTGAACCTCCGCCGGAAACTAGAATCGATGTTGAAATTCCGAAAATTACAACTGATTTGGGTCGTGAAATACATTTCGTGAAGCTTCCAAACTTCCTTTCGGTAGAAACACGGCCATTTGATACGGAGACATATGAAGATGAGATTGATGAAGAGGAAACTTTAGATGAAGAAGGTCGAGCTAGATTAAAGTTGAAAGTTGAGAATACTCTTCGTTGGAAAGAAATTTTTGATGAACAGGGTAAAGTTGCCAAGGAAAGCAATGCCAGATTTGTAAAATGGTCTGATGGCAGCATGTCTTTACACTTGGGTTCCGAAATCTTTGATGTATACAAGCAGCCGCTTCAAGGTGATCACAACCATCTGTACATCCGTCAAGGAACAGGTCTTCAGGGTCAAGCAGTATTTAGGACTAAGTTGACATTCCGTCCACATTCTACAGAATCCTTCACTCATAGAAAGATGACAATGTCGCTCGCAGATAGATCGCAAAAGACTTCTGGTATAAAAGTATTGTCGCAAGTAGGAACCAATCCAGATCAAAATAGATATGAAATGATCAAAGTGAGTCATGTTTAATCGATTTAATTTTTTCTTTAATAAGATAAATTCATTTTAATGCTAAAATCATTATGACTTTTAGAAAGAAGAGGAGAAATTACGTATGGCGATGAGAGTTCAAAGTAAGACAAAAAAGAGTGCTACAGGCAGTAGAAGTGCTACGAGATCTGTTGGTGGATATGGCGGTGATGCTTATCATGATGATGGTTCGGATGATGAAGGTGCCATTTCCCTTGCAGCAATTAAGAATAAGTATAAAAAGGGAATAATAAGTGCTCCTGTTAAAGGTAAATTATATGTAACAAACACGAATAAAGCAAACAAAGTATTTTACATAAATAATTCAAGAGTATACAAGTGCTTTTATATTTTTAGCATCAAACATATATTCATCGGACGAGGAAGGTTCAGATTTTGAAACTCTCCGAACGAAGAAAAACACTAAAGGAAGGGTTCTTAAAGAGTCGGATGAGGAATCAAATTCCGGAAGTGTTTCAGAAAGCGGAAGAGAAGATGACAATCAAGGCGATAATATTAGCGATTAAAATATCAGTTTTTTATTAAGATAAGTTGTTTTTGTAATATAAACAAATAAATTAATTTCTTTTCTGAAATATTAACAATCGGCTTGAAAATTCTCGAAATCGATACGTGTCTCTATGAATTAATTAAATTCAATCAATAATACGTAATTGCATGAAGTGGTTTTAATTTCGTTTAAATGGTGTTGGATTTCACGCGTAGGCCTAGATTGATCTAGAAATTTTTGTCTATAAATAATTGGTAGCACTGATACATACGTAGAGCGACACGGTGATCTGTGCCAATCTGTGTCACGGAAGCATTTTTATCTAACGAATATTCTTATAATTCAGGATTACTACATTCTAATTTGTAAGTGTAATTACTGCCTACATTGACAATATTAACTAATAAAATTGCTCAATTTAACACTACTCATAAATGTTTACAATATTACAATGAAAAGCTAATTTGATTTATTAAATATTTTGTAGTTCCTATACAAGTACATTAAAAAATTGTATTTGATTAATTGCTATCTTTTTACTTAACTGTTATATTTTTGGTTTGAGGTTGATCATACATGTGATTTTCGATTACGTACATGAAGTAGTTCAGCAAGTATTCGTATATTTCGATTTTATATAAGTGTATTTCGATAATAATTTAAATACATGTGATATCTATTGATATTAAAATCATGTAATTTTTCGTAAAAACAAACTCAAAATCAATTTCGTACAATTCTACAAATATTATTCATAATAAAAAAAAAGATAAAGTAGACAATTTTGAACGCGGTAAGAAAATGATTTATTATTAAATAAAATGAGAGTTTATCGATGTGTTTGTTTATGTGGTTGATCAGTATATTATTTGCAATTGAACCATTAATGAAGTTAAATTAACCTATTTGTTCTTATAAATTGTTCACCATAACCTTAAAACTTTTTTCTTTTTTAGGAAATGCTTAAATACAAAATTCTTGATAAATAAATTTATGTTTATGCAATCCAAGGATTTGTATAGGAATTGTGAAAATAGGGTTCCTTGACTTTACAATAATTTGATACTAATACACTGGTATTAACATTAACTAATATTCCGCATTAAATAATTTTTAATTTAATTTAATCAAACACTTTAATCATATTTTTTTGTACTAGTGTTCTATTAAACTTATTTTGCGATGATTAATATTTTTGTACTAACAGATAATGAAAATTATTTTAGGTTCATACACGATGGTTGCCCATACTATACTTCTGGATTTCACAATTCCATCAAATGTGATAGCAGATGTAGAAAAACGTTCTAATCTAAAATTAGCAATCGCTAATGTACTGAGAGAACACTTTGATGGTCTAAAACCATTAACTGAATCAAACATTGACGGAAGTCTTTTAGTACTTTATACTGGTCCTAAAGGTAGTTTGATTACTGTTCGAGGATATATGGAAGGCTTGGTCACCCTTAACATTGAGTATTATAAAAGAGATGATGAGGAAGCGCTCTTGAATTTTGAGGTATAGTCACTTATGTTAATTACCATCATTATTTTGCAGCATCTAGTTACAAACTTTATAATATTTAGTTGCCTCTCATGGGTATTGAAAACAAAATCACTTTGGTATCTCTCAAATATGGGGTCATTACAAGGTACATCTTGTTACATATTATAATTTGTTTGTAAGACATCAGAATGGTCATATTAAGTATATTTTTGGAAACTTAAACATCTATGCGCAAAGAAACAATTTCTTAAAATAATTCACGATTCTCACGTATCAACATTTGTTGTTGAGAATTAAAGTTGCAAGGTTAATATACTAAAATATCATCAATCAATGAGTGCCATTATAGAAATAAGTAGAAATTTTACTATATGCAAAAGAAACACGTGTAATAAAAAGGACCTTGTAGCAGTGGCGATACCTGGAAGCGGACGTTGCGATGGCTCTGAATAGCCAACGCAGCAAGTGCCTGCCACCAGTAAGGCGAGGAACCATATATGACCTCTATCTGACACTATCAGGTAGAAACCGCTTCCCCAATTAGTTCCCATACTTAGTTTTCTATAGCACCTTATAAATGTGCGAATCGTTTCTGTTGCACTCTAAAACGCCAACAGGTTCAATTGATTAATTTTTTTCCGGTCGGTGCGTGTTATTCCCTGGTGTTTCTTTTTGGTTCTTCCGCAAAGGGATTTGAAATGACTCTTGACACATACGTAAAAAGGAGAGTGGTTCCGATTGGTTTAACAAGATAGTTTCTGTTTTTTTTTTATTCGTCGGTTCGCTTGTCGCGGCCACCTTTAGTTGACCAGAGAATTGGAGACAGCGTTGCAGGCGGCAGCAGCCTCTACGCGTTCGCACACGCTTTCACCAATTAAACGCGGTGGACCTTTTGAGAGATACTTTCCTACCGCCGGTGAGTTTTTTTATTTATTATTCTGTTTACGGTACAAGTTGAAGTCTATGTCCGCACAATTTGTTTTTAAATTTATCGTGCGTCGTTAACGAAAACTGCTTCCAACTCATTTTCGTTATTTTTCGCGTGATGAAAATGTCGATCTTCATTACGTTACGATTACTGAAACCGTATATTATCCTTGATAATTCTTCACATCAAATAAATCGTCACTGTATCATGCACTTTATCCGTTTTGTTGCAGTATTCATGCAACTGTTTATATAAATGTAAATGGTTTGTCAAATAAGCGACAAATACAAAAAGAAACATAAAGTAAATGTATTTTAGAATCACTAATGACACTAAGAATTGTATCTTCTAACATTAATTTTTAAAGCTAGCTCATTCCATGCGATATCGAAAACTTTTTAAAGCAGCATTTCGAATTTTGCAATACATTGTTCAATTTTATATATTTGTTTGTTCAGCGGTTATAATTTATTTTAAAAAAGAAGACTACAATGTATCGAAATTTTAACAAAATTCGAAATGTTACTTCAAAAGAAATGTCTGCTTTTGCGTGGTAATATGCGCACGAAACTCCCCAGTCCTCGATACTTAAATTGTTATTCATTTTATTTTGGATGCAAGAAGTTATTAGTTCTTTTAACAAATTTGCGCTTTGCATCGCATGTATCTATTCATCCATTTGCATCAAGAAGCAAGACATTTCACGTAAAACCTTTCGCTCACGTCACTAATTGTAAGTGTGGAATATTCTACAAGTATCGAGTTACCTGTATGTATATATCGAATGCAGAACAATTTGCAAACAGCGTGACGATCTGGAATAACCGAAATTGTTGATACGAATCTATCGATTAGATATTGATGTCGTAGATTAAATTAATATATACGAATTTCAAAAGGGTCGTCTTTTGCGGATTATTCTACATTCGATAATAGGTATGATTAAACGCATTTCATTTCTTCTTGATGCAAGCGAGTTAAATGCTTTGTTATGCGATTATTTAAATTATGCAAGTTTTTAAGATTTTTATACTATTGTCCTTTCTTTTTTTTTTTAAGATGACAGACTGCTTGAATATGATATAGATAAATTGATCTTTGAGGCACGCTCTCCTTATCAAAAAGTGCAAATTGTACACTCGAAGTCATTAGGGAATTTGTTGGTTCTTGATGAATTACAGAGTAAGAAATAACAAAATTTTGTTTGTAAATCAGATTGAAAGACATTTAAAATTAGAAAATGTCTGACGCTAAGCTGTTCAATTTTTAGATATGTCTGAAGCAGACCTTATATATACAGAAACTCTGATGCAACGTGGAAAGGAGAATTACACAGGAAAGGAAATAGTTATTTTAGGAGGAGGAGATGGTGGGTTGCTGTGGGAATTGCTTAAGGAAAAACCAAAATTCGTTACAATGCTGGAAGTATGTTAAACTAAATTTACACGAGAATAAATTATGCTCCTATAATATCAAGAATTGTGTATCGTATTTTACTAAAAAATAATTTTTCTATTTTCAGATTGATGATATTGTTATAAAAGCCTGTAGTCAACATATGAGGAGCATATGTGGAGATTGTCTGGATAAAAGAAAGGGAGAAAACTATGAAGTAGGTTTTAAAAGCCAAGTAACATTAATTTTACGAACTAAAAATAAATATGACGATTATGTTTAATGAAAAATTCGAAATTTATAGATCATTGTTGGAGATTGTGCAAAAACTTTAGCACATATGATAGAGGAAGGTCGACAATTTGACTACGTCTTCGGTGATCTTACGGACATACCGATCAGCACTACTCCACATGGTGATGCATGGGATTTTATTCGACTTATCCTAAACTCTACGGTGAAAGTTTTAAAACCAACTGGAAAGTATATGACTCATGTATGTACATTTGGTATAGATCTTTATTCATTACTGCATTATTAAGATTACTAACTCTTTGTATTTTTAATTACTTACTGTTTATGTAGCGAATCGATTATATAAAAATTCATATTATTACTTGAGAATTATTTTTAAAAATAATTTTTGTTTTATGTTACAGGGCAATGGAGCGTCTTGTCCTGAATCGCTAGAAATGTACGAGCAGGTTCTTTCACAACTCTGTCTACCAGTAACTTTTACTAAAAATAGTGCTTTTATACCCTCTTTCTTCGAGGATTGGGTCTTCTATCAAGTATCGTTAAAATGATGGATTAAATGTATAACCTTGAGGTTCCAGGGAAGGCATGCTCACAACCTATTTCCTTCCTTATGACCCATATTCAATCCTAGTCGCTGATGTTTTGCTAACATTTTTTAAAACATAGAGTACAAATATATCTCAGGTTCAAATTGCCTTTATTTATTTATGTTTACTAAATAAGCTGTACTTCGTACTATAACGATTATGTACATAAAAATGGAAATATTACAAGAAGTATATAATATATCAGGCAATAAGGGGTTAAGGATTACATATAGAACTAACCGATTAACATCCAATTAAAACGTTAATTTTACTGTCTTTGCCGCTTACTTGAATTCTGTGAAAAATTTATAGCTACTTCTTTTTTTTTTTTTTATTATTTTTTATTTTGTAAAAAACATTTAAGAATAGTTAGAAAAAGGAGTAGAAAATTAAAAAGCTTTCAATTGTTGATAAGCAGAAGGAGTTTAAAATATAACTACACACATTGATCGTAATTTGATTATTGTTTAAATAGTATTAACTAATTAAAAGATACTGTAGTCTCGTTAACATTACGATGTAATTAACATGTTTAAAATTGTTTTAATATCACTGTTTGTGCACATTAACACTAGTAAAATAACACTAAATTACTACTTTGCTTCACGGGTAATAAAGTCACTAGTAATAAGTAATAAATTATTTTTTGAAAATCCTTATAATTAATAGCTTCCCAATACTGACAGCATTACAAATTTGCTTGTAATTGATAGTAATATTACTCCTTAATTACTAACACGAACATTTCGTAATTAATTAGTGTTAGTTTAACATATAAATAAATAAATATAATCAAGTACATGGAGAAGGTAAACATGAATATGAACTATGCAATTGTGATGAAAGGTTTGATCCCAGGAAGAGATATCTTTTTATCTCTAGAAGAACGAAGAAAGTATAAATTATAAAAAATTGTATGGTGGGTTGATTGGACGCTCAACTAAATATCTATTTTAAGTTTCTAATTGGAGGTTTGTATACACATATGTCTCTGATATTTCAGGTAGCTTTTCTACTTCGTGGATGGTAGGTTCTATTTCTGTTTCCAGAACAATTTGGTCTAACCACTGCTGAACTTGCTCTGGAAGTTCATAAGAATTATGTTGTTCTTCCATAATGTTTCTTCCAGAATTTCTGAAATGTTTTCCATCTTCTTGTTCATCTATATTGATACTTTGATGATTAAAGTCAGTTTTTTGAAATTCTGAGTTTGTGTTCGAAGACTGGTCAAGCATTTCTTCAGAATCTTTTTCTAGAAAATCGGCAATATTATTTGATTTTTCCATTAAACTTATTACACTGAAAGTTTTTAATTCGCCAGAAACAATTTCCATCTTTTTGTCTTCTGCCGTAGACGAAAATTCCATCTTTGTATTGGAAGAAATAATTTCTGAATTTTTTATGGACTTGTCGAAACTGACATGGTCTTTATTAATGTCTTGGTATTCCTCAATTTTATATGGTTCTAAATTAGTTATAGCTGTTGAATTAGAACCTGTCAGCTCTATTCTTCCAAATTGTTTGATTTGTTCCTCAAGGATATTTCTTTCGTCCAGTATTGTTATAGACGGTAGAAGGATTTCTTGGCTAGATAATGCCAAAGATACTTGTTGTCTGTAAATCGCTTCAGACTGTCGCAAAAGTTGTTTTTCTCTAGCATACAATGTTTGTGCTAGGCGAGCAAATGACACCTTAATTTCTCTCTGAACCTTTAATTAATAACATGATAACAAACTATTGAAAAAAAAAGTAATCCAAGTATAAGCAATTTTTGTGAAAATAGTTCAATGAACTTAACCTTAAAATTGTTATTTTATAAACACAGATCGATTAAACAAGAAAACAATAATAGTAGATTAAAAGTACCTGAAAAAACTGTTTCTCCAAAAAAGTCCTCTTATCAGCTACTAATTTTATCCTGTCAAGATTGTTATCGTTCTCGGTATCATCTTCATTTTTTTCTATCATGTTACTTATTACGTGCACCCAGTGAAATAATTCGTTTTGTCACAAATATTTATTAATCACAAAACGCGAGAATCAATATTATTGAAATTTTAGTTATCTTTCAAAGCACATGAAATTGTCAATTCAATGCAAGACCGAAACCTAATCACAAACTGCATAGTTCCTAAATATTTTGCACCCGTTAGATAAACTGCACTGCCATCTTGATGTTTAAGAAATTTTGAATATTTTTCTTCGATCGACCGCAAATTGTCAACTGTTATGAAACGATAATTGCTGTATATCGTACAAAATATTTTAAAACATTTTCACAGAAAATTTATAGAAAAACTATGGAACAAACCATTCGAAGAAAACTCAAAAGCATAACTGTGCATCTGATTGTAAGTATATGTATACATACATGCCTTTGCTATATTAAATCTATCACGTGGCATTCAACGTGTACCTATGCACATGTAATGCATCAACAGAAGGTATAAAAGTAATTATATGTCGCACTAAAACTTCAAATAATTATCAGCGATCATCTTTATTTACCAAAAGAGAATTTTGTTGTACAGATCCTTTCCTCTTATTTGTTCTTTATTTCTCTTGCATTTCCTACAAGTAAAATGCGCGTAATATATGTAACTACAATAGACACCAGTAAAATAATTAATTATAATTTTCAATTAAATATACAGTGGATTTTATCAAAAAAACGTTCCAAATATTTGTCTCGTCCGAGTCTAATGCACGCAGATAACGATTTTCTTATCAATAATATAACGAATACATTACCACATTGCTCCTATTCAAATCTACAATTTTTATTAAGAATAAAATTTGCATGTACAGCTTCCGTAAAATCGCACATAAGTCGAGATATCCTTTTGATCATAAAAAATATTACGACTTATCTATCGATCGAACAGCAAAACGTAATAACTACGGCAGCGTAGATATGTGATATTTTATAATTAAATTCAAGATGTGCAGTTATTTTCATTTACCGTACATGCCCGATAATGCTAAAATAAGTTAGCTAAATTTGTGATTAGGCTTACGCAAATAGTTTTGGCAATTTCGAACGTTCGCAAAGTACCGCGGATTCTCTATCATTACAATTAAATTTTTGAGCACGTAAAATCGCATCGATCCATAGTTTAAGCGTATAACAGTTTTTGCGAACTATTCGCGTACACCGAAAATTTCACGTATTTATAATAATATTAATATTAATTAATCTAAATACACTTAAGCCAACATACTAAACACAATTTCTGAACACTTTAGTCGTCTCGTAATTTTAAACGAAAGCTTCCTTATTCATTGGATAAAAGTCTAACAATTACTACGTTCACAATAAAAAAAAAAAAAAAAAAACAAAAACAAAAAGAACGAAACACTGTTGTTTAAATAATTCAAATTTTGTTCGCTAAAAGGAACACGATAAAAGTTCTTTCCGAATCGACGAAAGAACGTTATTTCTACGAAAAGTTACACGAAAGTGATAACATAAAAATGACGTTGTTACAGTTAGTCAGTTAAATTAATGATAGTCAGGAAGTAGGAAGAACCAGGAAGATAAATTCCTTTCGGAATTGAAATAAATCCGTGGCAGTTAAAGCGGTGTTAGCTCGAGCGATGGCTGGCCCATTTTCATTCGTAGGCTCGCTACGTCATCTTCTATTCGTACTAACAGCTTGTATTTCTATAAAAAAAAAAAAGAAAAAATTGAAAACGAGATTGAAAAACCATTTTTCGTCGTCTTGGAAATTTATCAAAGTAAAATGTTTAGATGTTCGCGATTTACCGTTGAGATGTCCCCTGGCGTTGTCATCCAGGCATAAAACATGTAACCAGGTATACAGAGCATCGACGACAAGGCTGTCATCCAGCCAAGCACATGCGACCACCATGGATATTCATAATCTAAATATTTTACAGGTGTCCATTGTACCAGATTGAAAATGAAGACGCCCTGTTACCGAAGGTCACAATCAAGTTAATGACATTAACGTGAAAGGTAGAATTGTATTTATAAAAACAAACCAGGATAGAAACAGTAGTTCATCGTCTCGAACGCATCTTACATTATGTACAATTCTTCCGCGAGAAAAAGACACAGCGTGTTTATAATCCCCCCCTCCTGTTGCAGTCTGCTGACTCACAGATATTGGTCGAAAACGGTGACGAAGATCGGTGACAGCCAGTCAGCGTATTGCAGCAAGAGTGAAGATGTAAACACGCTGTGCCTTCTCGTGGAAGGACACAAATTTTATGCTTTCTTTTTAACTTATTTATAACAAAAAAAAAATACTATCAACTTACAACACAAATCATCGGGGTAGTAATCGTCCAACAAAGTTTCCACCACATGAGGGGATAGTAGCCTATCATGTCTCTGATAGCGTCGTAAAATCGGTTAACACCGAATGCCCAGCTTATTGATATGCACTCGAAGAAAATTAAGAAAAGAAGACAGAATCCAGAAACGGCGTACGAATCGAGAATCTGGAAAACGTACATGCCGCTCTGGGATATGCACGATAATCCGATAATGTACGATAGCACGCAAACGATCGCAATGAAGATCTCCTTGCGTCGACGAAGCAGCTGCGGCCATTCGTCCACCTTAATTTTAAATCATTTGTTCGGTTTTACTTTTCGTCGGAAGTGAATTTCAATCGGCAACCTTTCGGAAAAAATTTAATGGGAGATTTTAGAGGGCAAAATAAGTTGAAAATCAAGAATACTAATTTGTTAATTGAGGCTACGTTAAAAAGTTATTAACGTTTACAGCCGCGTGCACGCGATAGTGGTTCTCACTCACAAAACTACAACGCTGTCGATACGTCGGTAAGTAGAGTTTCTGATGGTAACTGAGAACCACTATTGCGCGCGCAGCTGTTTGCAGATCGCCGTTCTACAAGCGGAACTTTAAACGTTAATAACTTTTTAACGAAGGCCCAATTAACAAATTAGTATTCTTGATTTTCGTCTTATTTTGGCCTTTAGAAATTTTTTTCGAAAGGTTGTCGAACACCCTGTACGTAGTAGCTATTGGTACGAGAATTAATAAATATATTACCATCGCAGTAATAAACCCTTCCATGGTGCAAAACTGAGAATCTAGACCTATAAGAAGAAGCATGAAGAAAAACAGGCAAGACCAGAGAGGCGCTCCAGGAAGTTGAAGAACGGCCGATGGATAAGCCAAGAAAGCCAATCCTGGACCGGACGCGGCAACTTCGGCGACAGGCTTCTGTTGCTCGTGGGCCATGAAGCCAACTACAGAGAATATTACAAAACCAGCGAACATGCTCGTCGACGAGTTCACCGAGCACACGATCAAAGCGTCCTTGTAGACATTGTTCGTGAACTTGTTGTAACTACCGAGAGCGACCAGCGTGCCTAAACCCAATCCGTACGAGAAGAAAATTTGTGTGACCGCGTCTATCCACACCTGAAAAATCCAGTAAGTTTTTTGTTAAGAAGTAAACGATAAACTTAAGTCGAGAATTGTAGCACATTTACCTCTGACTCTTTCAGTTTAGAAAGATTCGGACTGATGTAAAATCGGATGCCCTCCATGGCACCGGGTAAAGTGATTCCACGAATCAAAAGAATTGTGAGCAGAACGTAAGGGAAAAGAGAGGTAAAATAAACGACCTTGCCAGTCCACTTTACACCCTTCCAAATGCAGAAGTAACAGAGAATCCAGACCAGAAGAAGAGTACCAGCTAATTCCCAGCGAATGTTTCCCACGTACTCCACGCCCTCGCTGATCTGGAGCGCTCGTCGTCTGGAAAAAAAAAAGAAACAAGTTTCCCAGAATTTTCGTATTTAAGAGGATCAGGCTGTTTCTCGCCTTTCCGTTAAACCTGATCGAACTTACTCCCAAAATTCTTTAACCGGGTCGGTGAGTTCCGAGACTGTTATGTTGACGTTATTGACGGTACACATTTTAACGCTACTAAGAATACTTTGATGCATAGTAATTTTGTGCCAACATATCAATGAATTTCTGTCGTAGGGGTTCACGCAGTTCTTCGTGTTCCAGGCGTTATTGCAGCTTCCCCAAGGTAATTCTGATCGAATGATAAAATAAAAACAAATACGTTCACTTGATTCCGTTAATATTTAATGGAACGTGTTGGACGTTCACTTTTTAATCGAACGTAAGTTACAGTAAAACGAACCGCTACGCATAGACATGAAGAAGTAGAAGATAGCCCAGGCAAGGATCACGATATAGTAGACGTTCATCCAACAGGACATGACAGCTGCAGCGTATCCAATACCCTTAAAAAGCGGCGCTATTTTGAAGACACCGAGGCCGCCCACGGTGAGCATTTGACCGAGGGCAAGTTCCATGAAGAACATCGGGATCCCAGCGAGCACCAACGTCAAGAAGTACGGGATTAAGAATGCGCCACCGCCATTTTTGTAACAGAGGTATGGAAATCGCCAGACGTTTCCTAAACCAATCGCCAGGCCAACCTAACGAGGGAATTCAGCTCGTAACGTACACGTATCGCGTGAACAGAATTCTCAAAGAGGGTTTAAAGAAATTTGGAAAATTACCACGCTCAAAATGAAGTCTAGTTTGGTGCTCCATGTGCCTCGTTCTGGAAGCGGCTTCGTTTTGCTAGACGAGGCCGTCAAGTTCAAAGCAGTTTTGTCGGGACTTTCGGACTCCGCGAGCTCGGGTTCCCTCGATGCTTCCGTCATTTTGACAATTCTCTATCGCCTGTCTGTAAAAAGATTCTCCCGCTTCCGCTTGCGTGTTCCTCCACACCTCGCGGAACTACCGCGGAGACATAACAGTATTTCTGTCGACAATAATACGCGTCAGAATTCGTGCACCTCCGATCCACTCGAACGATGCTTAAAAACGCGAGGTCGAACTTTTATCTAGCCTCGTGCAGGGAACATCACGGACCCTTTCGTTTGCGATATTCTCAAGGTTCTCGCGCAATTTTCCGCAAAATGATTCGACCGACTTTTGTTTTCGGAGCCGGACGCGTTTCGCGTTTCGTCGCGCGGAAAAATTTGCGGAAGGTGATCAGCCTTGAAAATTCAAGAACACCCGGATAATTTGAAACCCAGCGAATCAAGGATTACACGAATGCAAGATTCTTACGATTCGGATCGTTTCAAGTTATACTTGGAGAAACGCATTTTAATCGCAAATTACATATATAAAAAGTTTTTTAAAAACTGAAAAACGGAGCTACGTTATAGAGAGAATGCAAAATTCTATTACCGGCAAATTAAATAGGATACAATAAAATTATTAAATATTTATCAACGTACAACAAATGTAGATTAAATAATAAGTCTATCAAGAATTCTATCAGTTTCAAAACTCTTTCGTTGGTTCAATTATGTTTGTTGTTGTGTATTTAACGATAAAAGTTGATCGAAATCGGCGCGCAACGTCTCGTGTTATCTCTTTGCTAGGGTCGACATCGGAAGACATCGCAATAACGACACTGCCGTCGAGATCAATAAGAAAGAATTAAGGCAGAAAAGTAGCATCGATGCGACACGGTTAAATACGAATGTCCGGTTGGGGAACCCTGTAATGAATATCCCGAGCCTGTACGCGTCCCCCCAGAGCCAATCCTTCCCCGGCCCCTTCGCGGCCGATCTATTTGCTCGGCTCCCTCTTCCTCTTCCACGCTCATAAAAAACAGCTATATTCTAATTAACCGAGAATGCGTTGTTCCGCGTAACCGACACATCGCACTGTGATCTTGAATTTTTTGGCCAACATTAATCGGGCCCTGTTTGCCGAATCCGCGATCTTTCCTCCTTACCGACAGCGTAAATTTCTCGGTCAATAACGACGGTCGGAATCGACGAAGTCCGGTGTTATCGACCGCGTTTCCTCTTACTTCCCGATCGTAAGTAAACGACGCATACAAACCTACTTGTAACCGATCTTCGATCACCCTCTTCCTCTTCCACGCTCATAAAAAACAGCTATATTCTAATCAACCGAGAATACGTTGTACCGCGTAACCGACACATCGCACTGTGATCTTGAATTTTTTGGCTAGCATTAATCCGCGACCGAGCCCCCTTAATGCGATCTTTCCTCCTTACCGACTGCGTAAATTTCTCGGTCGATAACGACGATTGAATCGACCGCGTTACCTCTTACTTCCCGATCGTAAGTAAACGTCGCATACAAACCTACTTGTAACCGATCTTCGATCTCCGCGACACTGTCTTCGGGGCGTTCGGGAGTTGTGGTTTCCGCGGGCAGCGCGGCACCTCTTCCTCGCAAGTTTCCCCGGCGGTTCGTGGAAGGGAAAGGAAGGAATGTCTAGTCGCACGAGAGAAACGCCAGTCGATTTCCGAACTTTTTTCCCAAATATCGTGTATCGCGTACGCACTGCACTGCCGCACTCTTGATCCTTCACGCAACTGATCGGTCACGTCGAGCGGCCGGCATTTCCGGGGTCGATGGGAATCCTCGTAGCGAAAGGGTGCGAACGTGTACACTCTTGTCTCGCAGAATCTCGATCGGTCTAAGCAGCGTCGCGATCAAGGGCTGATGGGTTCTCTCGTTCCTGGTGGACGCCAACGACCTACATTACCGACGAAGAGATTATCGCAACTGTTCCTCGATCTCTCTGAGCGTTTCGTTTTGTCTTTTATACTCTTTCTTTTTTCCCCCGTTAACTTTCTGCTTCGAGGCCTGTCTCGAGGGACGGTGCGAATGCTCGGCCGGCCCGCTCAGAACTGGAATCGGGTGTTCGCTTTCGACGGCGAACTAGCTGAAATATCGGAGGTACGAAATCAGGGGATCCCCCTTTTCCTTTTTTTCCCCCGGTCCACCCTTGCCGTTTACATCGGTGTCACGCGTTTATTCCGCGCGCGTTCACTCGTGCCTGCTCGCGCGCAGAGAGCAAGAGGGGACGAGGAAAACAAGGAGAAAGAGGGTCACCAAGATCGCAACAGTATATCATCATCAAGTTTGACGGCTATCTGGACGAAGCTGTGCTCTTTATTGTCACCGTCCCGATACATGTGCGCGCATGTATACAGGCCTAGAAGTTGTTTCGGTGCCTTTTCTTTCAAAAAGTTTCACATTTATGTACTTATCCATGCGTACATATTTTATCCTTGGCGATAATCGCCATTACTTTGTTTCATCTTTCGGACAATCGTCGAATCCCTTAACCAAAGAAAGCTGGTGATCTCGATGCTTTTTGACACCGTTTCCAACAATTTAAAGCGCGTATCTTCCAAATGCTGTTGCAGCGATCCGAACAGGTGACTGTCGTAGGGAACCAGACTCGGTGAACACGCCCCATATGTATCCAGCTTTGGATCAGCCCTAATTTTTCAAACAAAAGAGAAATTATTGTTTTTGGGGATACTCCAAATTAAAATGAAAATTTTTGTTGAGTTTTAACAGAATTTTCACTCGATAATTGCTCGTATTCTTCGTCCTCGACCCTTTCTGGTTGCCCAGGACATTCTCAATATTGCAATCTCTCAGGGAGATCAAAATTGCTGCTTCGGAACTTGTGATACTATTTTTTACAGGTTTTATATATTATTAATTCTTTATCTTTACCCAAAGTAGAACGGATCATTTTAATTGCGTTTTTCTTTAATTCAAAAGCAAATAGCACGCAGTGTCTAATGTGAGCTTTATCAATACATAACAAATTCTCTAGTAATTAGACACGCTTTGTAAATAATCACGTCTTTGACGATAAACCACTTGTTAGAATTTTGTGAGCAATCTATGTTATTCTTGTTTGACGTAATTAATTATTTTCGGATATACGATCGTTCTAAACTGTGTTAAAATTAACCTGAATCTGATATACTGACTGAATTGAACATATTCATAAGATATTTGTATTTAAACCAGAGCTATAAATGATATAATATGAAGACATCAAATTAAATACTAGTATATAGTCGTGTTTGCGAATAGAATTGCGATTAATAGTTAGTCAGGATCGTTAATGCCCGGAAAGAGCTTTGAGTTGCCCTTTATAAATGCAATGCTCCGTTTCAGGTCAGTTACGGAAGTACGTTCATTTTTTAAATACGACGAAATTATGAATATACGCGATAGAAACAGAAAATTTCAGAAATCTTATACGATCTATCGTGCAACAAGTGTTTCCGTTATTCGTAAACCGCCAATTAATAACACTGATTCGAACAAGATCCCAAACATTTGTTACCTAATATTAACCTTATAATAACAATCGGTTTTCTTTCATTAATCGCTCTGTTGCCGAAACTTTCTACTCGTGTTCGAAATTTCTGTACTTTCCGACGAAATGGAAGAGTCTGATAAAGTAGGTGAGCAAGACTAGGAAGCTAGTATATCCGGAGGGTTCACGTGACACCGATCTATCGCTACATCCGTTCTGGGTACACTCCGTAATATAGATCATCAGGATGATCGACATTAACTCACACAAATCCCGAAGCATCTACTACAGATAGAAACCAGTCACCGATCGATCCACGCGTTCAAACTGATGTGTTTAAAAGTACAGGAATTTTCGTGTCACGCCTCGCGATCAATTTTGTATCGAGCGAAAAAAGTATTCAAATGCTTTGTTCGCCTACGAATTTTACAAACCTGGCCAAGATTTTTAGAAAGCGTCGGACCTGTTCGCGATCGAACCGTAAAGTTTGTCAAATGTTTTCGTAAAACAGGAAACTTTTGCTCCAGCTAATTTCTGTATCTTGCGCTCGCGCGCACACACATGGTTTGATTGCTCGTTAACGGCCAGCACGGCATAGGGGAGCATCCCCAATGACCAGAGGATGTGCGGGAAGTGGCGCGGGAACCGCGTTAAGAATCGCTTTGCGGGTCAAATCTTTTTTTACGAATCGAACCACCCCTTGATTTTCGTAAAGCATTTTAACGAATTCGCCTCGAGATAGAATCGCTCGAAGAATACTGAAATTAAAGGTATTTGAAATTTAGTAATCTGTTTGGACCAATAATCTCGATTGCGAAAGTAATCCGTGTAAAACAAAACAAACAATCGATGAAACTTTTATTCCATTTATCATCTTTGGTAGTCTCCGCTTGCAGCAATCATTTCGTAGTCAGACCTGGTAATCGGTAACAATTACCGATGATGAAGCATTCCTCGAGTTGATCAGCCGTGGACTTAGAAACGTTATTTCTTACGCTGCAATAATATGATTTAATTTAAACTCTTGTAACTACTGCGTCCCTTTTTTTCAAAATGAAGAAGTCGCGACTGTGATTGGCGAGCATTATCGTTCAATGATTTTATCTTTTATTTAGCGTGAATTGCATGGATTTAATTAAGATGGCGCCTCGTGCCACGATTCTGTTGATACTATCGTTTTATCTAGATCGAAGTTCAATAACAAGATTACTTCGAGAAATACAATTGTCAAGTGTCGCCATTAGACTTTTTCTTATAAGGTCGTGTTAAGTCTCGTGTTTATACCAACAAACCACAAACTGTTGAAGATATTAAAGCAAACATCGTTCATATTATTAGTGAAATACAGTCGGATTTATGTACTAGAATCATCGGAAATTGATTTTACGTGTTCGCTTCACTAAACGCAATCGTGGTGGTCATTTAAATGATATTGTACAGGGTGATTCTCCCGCCAATAGACTCGAAAGAAATGCCGCCACTTTAACACGGAAGCGATAATCCCGTGTATGGTTATAGTCGTAGCCCGATGAAGAGGTCAATATTGTTGCTTCATCGATCGGTTGACAATGACAACTATTATAACGGAGACAACACTACTTGAATTTATTAAAAAAGTGGCTTAAAAATATGCACTTATGTTCTTGTGAAATTCTTTCAACAAGAAATGTTGAAAATGTGTTTCCTCTATGTACGGTTGAGATGGTGGCAGGCGTGTAGATGAAAGTATGTGTGGTGACAGAGTATAAGTCCCTAGCCTGTTTTCTGTATAGTTTATGAACGCTCTATGTTCATGATGTAGTTGCCATAGGTTGGCGACGCGAGTGTTGCGCCATCTGTAGGAGATAATATATACTAGGCGCGGAAGAGACGCTCTCTTCTGCCTGGTGACTAACATGTGTAACGCGTCACGATAGTGAGTTGTTATTGTTACAAACATTTAGTAATTTCCTTATATCACCCGCATATGGAAGTGTGTAACGACAGCTACATGAAAAGCGCGGTAGCAAAGCCATTGAAAACACTCCTTGCGAATGCATTCCAAAACGCAGTATTTACTACTCCCAACCAGGGAACCAATGAAAAGGCAGTCGAGAACAAAGTGCAAGCCTCGTCTTCGAAAACGACGCCAAATCATTCGATCTCGTACCGTTGTAGCGAAACCTCTGAAGAATTACAAAATGTATTTTGATTGTTTTATTTTTCCGTGTATTTTCGCGTCTAAATTTTCTCCAGATATCCAATATCCCTAGCGATATACTAGAAGTGCATCGAGAACGACAATAGTAACGATGAATTAGCTGTATCCCCTAGCAGAGCGGTGAGTAAAGTATGCAGTAATTACGCGCCAAAAGTCATTGTACATGGTCGTACTCAAAAGTACAATCAGTAAATTATGGATAAGAGAAAATTGAAATTTAAAGGTGGATTGCACAAAAATTTAATAGGAAGTCAGATATCATCGAAAAATGAAACTTCTAAATCTAAAACTCAAAATAACGGATGTTCAACAAGTAAAATCTTGTTGTTAAGTGGAAAAACGTTCTCAAGTCAAAGTAAGTCGGTCAAAGAGATTTTCAAGTCATAACAAAATTGTTGACCGAAAGGATATTTGTAGGTCAAAGTAAATCATCGAACGATGGAACATTCTCGAATAGTAGTAAATCATTCAAGGAAGAAGGATCAGTACGTAATATCAAAAAAACATCGAAAAAAGATACACCGTCGCGTAAACGCAAGTTGTCAAACTTTAATGAGTCAAGAAACAAAGATGATGATGATGCTGATGATGTTGATGATGATTTTGGACTTCCGATAGCAGAATCTACAATATTAAAGAAAAGACGAGACGATTCAAATATTGTACAACCACAATGTGAAAATGTTAATCGCAAAAGTGCTTTGATTAATCCATCGATTACTTTACAGAATAATGTTAGTGTAACTTCCAATACGCAATGTAAATTTGTTGAATTTTTACATGAATCAGGCGTTAAATTAAATCCAGTTGCTCCACATATGCTTAGTAAGTGTTAATTAAATATTTATAGATTTTGTAATTAATATATTAAGAACTGATATATTTGCATGAAATATAAATATGTTTGTTCGTTAATAAGATATTTAATTAAATTGTTGCAGGTAAAGACATTATAAAAGTTAGACAAAAAATGAGAGAATTATTAAATTCTAAAAAATATGAGAAAGCAAAATTAATTGACTTAATGGAGAAGTATTTTGAGAATGAACAGAATTTTGAAAATGCACTGGTCAATATGGAAGTATTTGTTAATAACGAAGTGTCGCAAGTTTTACATAATTCGTCTCTTATAAAAATCTTATTGCAAGTCTCTGAATTACATCCAGAAATATATAGTAGTCTTTTGACTAAACTCAATGAATCTATACTGATGGTGTAAGTATATTCTATAGAATTAAATCAAGTGATTTTTCATCATTGTTAAAGATATTTCCTTTATAAATCCTTGAAACATACTCTTTCAGTGATTCCATTGAAACAATACCCTGGGCTACTTCATTGTTACAACAATTCCGTTTCTTGGATGTTGTAACTAATTCTGACGCTTTAACTAATAGTTTAGAACAACTGTTAGAATCATGTCCTACATGGTTTCAAAGTGAATTAATTCTAGTTTTACCTGATATCGTGACCGATAAACAACATCAAATTGTTGCTGAAATTTTGGATAAAGTACTAGAAGAGAACCCTGAAATAACAAGTTTAATTCTGAATTGTATGAGCAATCTAAATCTTGGAAAAGAATACTTGGATGAATATAAGAATAAAATATTAAACTTGTTGAAAACAAACATAAAAATAAATGCAATACCAGCAGTTGTGAAGTATGTTTAATTATTAGGATATATTTGATTCTATATAATTAAGTTATATAATTTGATTAATTTTTTAGTATTAACATCGATTAACTTCTTGTAGATTTGTTTTAGAAGACTGTACAAATATGGATATTTTCAAAAAAACCTTAACAGTACTTCGTAATGTTGACATACAACCTCTTGTTGGAGAGAAAGTTGTGGAATGTTATAAAAATCAGTTGAATATAGTTAATGCCATAAAAATGAATATGCTTCTTTCCAAAAATATAGTAAATACAACGATTACAGTTATAAAAGATATTACCCAAGATCCAAAACCATTAGACATCATTCTTTTACTTCTTATATTTTCAATAACGGAGATAAAAAGGAAAAATGTTGAAACCATATTTAAACAACACATACGCTCTGGTTTTTATAGAGCAAGTTTATTTAGTTCATTGTATAACGACTATAAACAGGTCTGTATAGTATAGACTTAAAATAATGCGAAATATTATTCTAAAATCCTTTTAAAAATAATCTTGCAATTTATTTCAGGTCATACAGGAGTTACAGCCTGCAGCATTACAGTTATCAAGTAATTTGCTAAAAACAGACGAACGTGTATTTATTGACTTTGCTATTGATTGGTTTCGCTTGCAGTTCATATGCCATAAAGAAAATGTATTTAAACAGCGCGAAATTTTAGAAAGAATCATATTTCTTATGGGCGATAATGATCAAACGGTGAAAAATGCTTTAGCGTTTCTTTGTAAAATGGTAACAAAAGAAGAAGAGAGACAATGTTTAGCGCCGCATTGTAATCATCTTCGCATTTTACTCGAAAAGATGGATAATTTGGGTTTAGAAGAAGTTGGCACATTGAACGATTTATTGCAAAATTTATGCATAAATTCCAGTTCTATATCCGATGCTTTACGGGATGATCTCTTCATACTTCTTCAGAAACAGTTGTCTAACTTCAAACCACTGTATGTATCAATTAAGTGTTAAAAGATTAGATTAGAAAAGCTAAATCGATATTGCATATATTTGTAATAAAAAATTGTAAAAATTGCAAGCAAATTTTAAATGCTTTTATTTATGTGTTTTAGAATAAAATGTAAAGGTGTCTTGGGAGCAGTTATGGCAATAAAACATTTAATGAAGAAAGCTGAAACTTCTAATACAGCTTATAACTTATTTAGTGCGTATTGTGAAGAATTTAATTATATAATGCATACAAAAAAAATGATAAAACTTTGTATTTACGCATTTACATACACTTTGGTTTCATAGAGACAGCACTGAACAATGTCAAGAATTGCCCAAGATCACAAGCATTATTTTATGATCAATTAACAATTATCATTTCTCAAACTCAAGAAACTGATATAGAGTTTATAACGAAACTTTCAAATTACATTGAAGAAGAATTTATTAACACAAATATGATCGAGAAACTCTCTTATAGGTATACAGTATTTTGTAACTTTTACTTATATTTTATGTGTATACCTATGTTGATACTTTATAATATTTAACACTATGTTTAGTGGAGAATTAGAACCTAAATTTGGATTGAACAGAGCAGAAGATGAACCACAAAATTGTGTTCTAACGTTTGAAAATAAAAAATATGGTGCTATTGTACCAATTTTGTTTAAACTTCTCAGAACTTGTTGTGTAAGACTTAGTGAAAATGGAAATTTAAACGCCATAGATTCTCTCTTGGGATGTGCAATATTAATGCCACAAAATTTTGACATAGCTGAAAATTCAATTATGGACTTAATAATATGTTGTATCAATTGGTAAGTTAAAAATTGAATTGGAAAACAAAAGTACAGTGTAATTTTATAAAATTAATAAATAATAAATTTCAGGTTTCGAGAAGTAATCAATGGTTTTGTTATGCAAAAAGATACCTTATTACAAAAGCAAATAGTAAAGCGACTTGACAATTTGATATATTTACAAACCGAATTGAGTACATTGTTCTCTTTGTGTGATACAAAATATCAACCATCTCCATGTTACTTCCACCATTTTCCAGTACCGCAATTTGTAAAAATTGAGAAAAAAGTTGGAAAGAAAGGTAAAAAAAAGAAAAAAGTATCCGAAGACAAATCTGTTAATTCGAGTGAAATTACAAGCTGGGAATTAGGTTCTTTAATTTGTTCTAAAAATCCAATGTATTTTAGAAGATTGGATGCAACGGTACGAATATATTTTAAAAATGTACTCGTGATTATAATTTTTTAATTGAAACTATTTTTACAGATAGTGCATCTGTTGGATATAAAACCAGAATTAAATTCAACACAATCTACAGATCATAGTATATCTGTGAAACAGGTATGTTTCATTATAAAAGAACTCCTGGGAATCTTTGAGCATGATAACAGCGAAGATTTTGTAAGAGACTTAATTGAGTTATTACCTAAAATTTGTTCAAAATTGGGAGATATTGTGGACACTTTGAGAGAGTGTGGTGATGATCAAAATAAAGAAGCTGCTAGATTATTATTATGTCTCCTAACAAAAATATTTAACTGGAAAGGTTTTGAAAGTGTCACTTTCAATCTGTTATTACGAGGTATACCATAGTCTGACTTTATATTAGTCCATAAAAACTTCTGCGACTTTAATAACATTTGAATCTTTTTTCAGACGGTTTACGAACTTTAGCATGTCAAGTAGATAAAAGCAATGGTATGTTGCGATCTTGCAAAGAACTTGTTACAGAATCATGTAAATATTTTGAGTCTTTATCGGATATTGCTACGCAAATATCATTAGCTATTTCATTAATTAATATGTGTCAATCATTAATGAAGCATTCTGAATCTTATACGAAGGAAAATAAAGAAAAATATGGTAAGCAATATTATATACAATTCGTAACAGATAACTGCTACACGAATTAAAATACTTAAGTCACACGTACAAGTAATACTAATACATTTTCTAGCGAAAATGGCATTTGGATTTTTAAGTCTTCAGTGGCCAGAAGACAAACAATTTAGTCCTCAGTATAAAATAGCAGTAATTGGATTATTAAATAGTTGGATTGATAACGAACCATTACCACTAAACACAGCAACACAAATTTTGGAATGGCTTCCAGATGAAACTTCGAAGTTAGTGAAACCTCAAGACTGTTTAAGTAGAATACCATCGATAAAAAGAAATAACTTCCATTTCTTATTTAAGAAAATATTTGATGGTCTAATAAATGGTGTGAAAGTAGCACTACCGTTAATTAACAGGTACGCATCTTCTGTTATTTGAATTGCTTTGCATTGATTAATTGTTTTAAATAATTGATTGTTTTTTAGAGATCCAAAAAGAATAGAATTATGGTTTGAAGTTGCAGCCAACGTTCAAAAATTAGTTCAAATATCTAAAACTTTGACTACAAAAAGTAATATATTGATTTTTATGAAACATATGCCCATGTTATTGAAATATTTTTTAAACTTTGGAATGCCGGTTCTTGAGTACAACTTAAAGTATCAAACAGACGATGTTACCAAAATATTGAAAATGATGCAGGGTAAAAATCTTATTTCATATAATAAAAACGGAGTAATGAAATGCAGTAAAATTACTAACATGATAGAATTTATGTACGTTAATGTACTACAAATATATAAAATAGATATAACGCGTATTTTAGGAGGCACACGATATTTACACACAATATGTTGCGATAGCGCGGAAAAGAAAGATCTTACATTAACAAAACACATTCCTGCCGCCAAGTCTGTACTAGAAAGATTACTTTACAGTGTAAAAGGAATGTTGGTACTTAATAATAGCCCTGCTGCCTTTTGGATGGGTAACCTTCTTAATAAAAATTTAGAAGGCCAAGAGATCCTCTCACAGGTTTGTCAATTATACGACATATATTTCTACAAAATATGTAATATTTTTATACTTAATTTAAATTGTATTTGATGTTTGCACTAATAATTCTAGAGTGTATCGTCAGAAGGAAGTACTTTACCGAATTCTGATATTACCGATGATATAACTAACGTAGCATCGGATATATTAGAGAGTGATTCAGACGATGATCTTGTTGAAGATGATGACTCGTCATAATTTTTTTTATTGAAAATTAAAAAGGAACAATTAAACTAAATTAAAACTACACTTTTTATAACGATAAAATTATTTATTTAAAACTTATATTTTTTAGTATTTACACAGTTTATTTTCAAAAACGTATGCATTTCAATTGTTGTAAATATTTTCAATTTATAATGTAACTAATATGACACTGGACGCACAAATATTGTGTTTATTTTCATAACGTCTACTTGTTTTTACTTAAGATGTTGCTGAATATCTGGCGCTTCCACGTTAAATCCGGCATAAGCGTTTCTTCGATAAATGTCATTTCACCATTTCCATTAACTAGCAGTATAGAATGAGTTCGTGTACAGTATTCGCTGCCAGATATAAAAATAGAACTCAATTTTTCGTACATTTTTGGAGACCGTTTCTGTAATTCTGGATCTGGTAGATATCTATGAATATTTGAAATATTATAAAATAAATGCGTTGATAATCTTAGAATAGATGCATATGATACTTCAACATAAGGGGGCGCGTATCGTAATTTTTACGATTATAAGTATTTTATAACTTAACATGTTAGAACTGTAAGAAATAACTATCTATGGTCAATGAATAGATTAGTTAAACTAATCTTTTCTTGAGGATTCCAATTTATATGCTGGTATAATAAATAATTAGTACTTAAATTTCTACGTGAATTTTCAATTAGCGATTTTAATTCTTCTACAATATTTATTTGAACATTAGAATTTGCGTATGAAACAAGTAAAAGAGTCGATTGATAAAAAAAAAAGTGTATAACCGATTTTGCCATAAAATTTACGTGTACGCGCCCCATGGAAAAGTATCATATGATATAGAATTCATAAATCTTCATATAATGCATCATACTTCTCTTTTGACTTTAAAAATTTTAGGAGCCTTTCAATCAGATCTGCTTGCTCTGATACTTTAACATTATTAACAATATTTTTGAATTTTTCTTTTCCTCCATCAACCTTCTTGTAAGGTACACTGAGGCCACTATTACTAAACCCTAGTACAGCATCCTGACTCGAAGAAGGTCCTGTTGATTTTGTGGAACTACTTAGGTAATCAATATTTCCATTGCTAAATAAATAAATAAATACAAGTAATTATTTATTTATCGATTAAAAGTAACTATAATAAAATTCTTTTCAAAACTTAATAATTCTTAACAAGACAATGTATTATAGTTTCTATTAAAATTATTTCCTATTACTGAAGATCATTAGAAATTCTTTACATACTGTAAATTAATTAAAACCAAAAGATATGGATTATACGGTTGTTCATTTTGATTTTCTTTGTGTAATTTCTCCAAGTATGAAATTGCAGAATCGTTTGAAGTTATAAAATTAGGTATTAAAGAACCTCTCCCCTTTTTTGGAATGTCACTTGAATCTTCCTCATTAGATAAATTTAAAATAGCACCAGCCATTCCTGTTATTGACAGAGCTAACCAGGTTCCACCTTCTTTACCAGGTTCCATATCAGTACCTGCCAAATGACAAATTACTTTTTTATCTTATATCATACATTTCTATATTATTTATCATATACTTGAATTTCAATTAATTATATATTTTAACAGTTATCTTAATTCTGATTTCAATGGTATACTTTATGTTGTCAAATGTAATGACAGAAGTTACTATCTATGAGAATGTAATATTTTTTTTTACACAAAACACTATCTTGGTTTTTCAATTATATTCAGTATTTTATAAGAAATTGATTATAAACCACCAGATTTATATTTATTAAAAAATAATTTTTTAACATACCTCCCAAACATTCTGGATGATTTTTCCAATAATGAGCTAGTAATGCAGGACGTTTAAAGTATTCATCGCGATTTGTAGCCAAAATTAATCGATAGGACTCGGAATCAGCATCAGGATTGCGATAAATAAATAGTATACACATTATTAATACAATTCATTAGATTCTATATATTACTCTACTGTTCTCTGGACATTCGACTTGAAATATCGGATAGTTGTGTTCAACAACATGTGACCTCGACGAGGATTCTCTGAAAATCTGCGTATCAGTTATCAGTTCTTCCATTGGTCTGCCTGGCTCGGTCGGCTTATCGAGTATGTGTACCTTTAGTAGCTGTTTTATTTCTCCAAGGACAGCTGTCAAAAGAGAGCACTCTGGTCTAATAAAATCATATTTCTCTGAGTCGAGAATTCTGGTCTGCAAAGATCTTTCACAAACTTTGGTTCCTTTGAACATAAACATGAGCAAAGTCCATTCTTCACATATTGAGTATAAATTTAATCAGCTGTTTATACTCAATCGTGTTAATAACATACATATGTATACATATGCTCATTCATAGGAATAATAAAAATAATTTCTTTTTTTTCGATAGTTAAAACATGATCAAGGGGTCTTAAAACGTGTAAATTGTTCTTTCATTAGGACCTTGCTTATATGTGTGTGCCTATATAGCTCGAAACGTAAAAATGCGTGGGCAGATTCGAAATTGTATGTCGCGAGGACGGACTTCAGCTGTTCAAGAGCAAAAAGGAAAAGCTTCCATTCACTTTCTTTATCGATTTCCCGAAGTTGCATGAAGTGCTGACCTGGCGTAACATGTGGCTCGTGTGTTAGGATATGTCGGTTTTCCCCGCCACTCCGTTAAACGCTAAGAAAGTTCGTCGTTGCTAATGTCGACGTCGATGTACTCAATAATGCCAGATTTAGCCACACTGGCGCTGGCTCCGAGAGATAGGCAAAATGGACCGGTGTTTTAGCGTCACGCTTGCAAATATATATTTCATGACAGTGCTAAAATCCGAATATGGCGTTGAAATTAAACAAAAGTAATATAATGGATCACTTGCTTAACAAAATAACCGATTATTCAATTACAGATTATAAAAATTAATCAATTTTTAATTTTCATTTGTTATCAAGTTACCTAGAAAAAGGAGTGACAAGGTTAGAAAAATGTGTACAATCAAATGGACTTCAGTTTAATTTGACAACAAATACAGTATATAAGGTAAACATGGTAAATATTTACTTTAATGGCATTGCCCTAAATCTGTTTATTTTTGGGGGATTTTTCAAAAAAGACTGTATTTCAGCATTGAAAAGAAATATAGATTTTGAAACAATTCGAAACAAAATAAACAGATTTAGAGTAAAGCCACTAAAGTAAATAGTTGCTATAAATAAATGTAAGAAATACGTCAGTAATTAAAATTATTCATTGTTGTCTTCCAAAAATGTTGGATTATCATATTCATGGTTTGTCGTTGCTTTGGTATTACTCTCTTTGGAACTAAAATTTGATGTTTCGTTCTTTTCGTTATCATTTTGCTGACATTTTTTGCGTTCTTCTATAATCTCAGTACGACGGGTCTCGAATGCTTCTATAACATCTTTTGATACATGCGAAGACATTATCTTAGAAAAACCTGCGACAATATATTTAACATAAAATATGTATTTTTTTTAAATGTAAGCTTTATTCATTAACTATGTTTCATTATTAATGTAGTGTAATGAACTAATATGATATGATATTAAATTATAAGTAAATACCAGATGTATGAGGTTCTTTTAGTTTCTTATGAAAGAGTGCTTCAAGATTAGTAGGCATCCTTGGAACATTCCGAGTCTCCTCTACTAGCTCTCGAATTGTTTTCTGTTTTTCTGAATATCCCATTATATTGCTCTTTAAAATATTTGTTGTGTCATTTTCTATTGCACTTTGTAATCCTTGAACTATTTGATTTGCATGTTTATTAGTAATTAAATTGTTTGATGAATAATCCACCTAAAAATTGAATATATTTTTATAAAAGTAATTCTTCGACGAAAGTAATTCTATGTATAACATTACTTTGTCACGGAAAGGTAGTTTTAATTTCACATTAGCAATGATGTGAGTAAATGTATCGAATCGGTGAATTAACATTGCCAAGAATTGCATGCATAGAATAAGAACATATGCAACAATAAAGAGACATCCAACTGGTTCCAAATGCAAGTACTGCTTGGATACATGTACCTAAAAGAAAGTTTTAAGTAATATTGATACAATATTTCATATTGAGATTAATAATACTTACTTCGTCCATGTCCTGTATACAAGTAATATTGTACAAAATAGCAAAAGGCCACTGAATGTGCAAGATGTCCTTATTAAGTTGCAACAAAAAAATTGCTACTACGAATATAATATTTAATGTAAAAAACTTCAAGAGACATTCGTTACGTATATTTATCAATCCTTTTGCAATACTTCTCTGCAAAAAAATTTTACGTTCGTAAAAATTGTAGTTTCAATTTTTGAATTAAAAAAATTTATTATCAAAACGATCATACTTGTTTTACTAAATCCTTTTCAATCGGATGTAAATATTTTTCGATAAGTTGCTTCCAAAATTCCTCCTCCGAGGTAGAAAGAAAATCTACTTTTCCATTTTGCATATGTTCATCTTTAAGCCAATTAGGATTGATCAAATAATTCGAAAATCCTTTATAAAATGTACTAGATGTTTCTTCTGAAATTTCACTTTCTGAATCTGTATCTTCGCGCAAATCATTTTTAGTAATTTGCAATTCGGTTTGTTTACTATATGTTTTATTGTCTTTATCATTTTTTTCTTCTACAATGTCTTTTGATATACTGCTACTTCTGTAATTATTACAAATTTGAATTTATTCAAGAATGATTAGTTCATAATAAAATTAACCCATATAAAATTCAAAATTAGAATGTGATTTATATTTTATACCTTTCCATTCTTTCCAAACGAATGTTTATCTCGTTTAAAGAATTATAAATAGAGTTTAAATATGTCTCTTCTTCTGAATTTTTCTTTGTACAAAAATCACACTTGAACAATTTAGCCCATGAAAAATTTGCCCACTTAGATTTTTCATCGTGCTGTGATTTATTTGTTTTTGTAAATTGTTTTTCTGATATCTATAAAAAAAAATGTATATTGTTCAAATTACAAGTATGCGGAAAGTAAATAATGTAATTAAATAGCATGCAACGTGGTTTTATAAAACTACCTTAATTTGTTCTTTAGTCTCTCTTGTACCCCATGTAACATTATGAACATTAAAGATAGAGAAGATAATAAGTAACATATACATTGATGGTACAGTAGCATAATAAACGATTGCAGTACTCAGGCATGAAAATTCCTGAGGATGCATAAGACCTGTCAGTAGAAATTGACCGACTGTAATGTAAAAAAGAAGAGTATTGGGTGCAAAAGATCCTTCTGTTGCTATTTCAATTAATATTCCAACTAGAACAATTATCATTACCAAGGCATATATGACAGTGATAATTTCAGCTGCTATGAGCTGTAAAAATATTAATACATAATTAATATATAATTCCATTGTTAATTTAAAAATAATTATCTGTTTTATACTTTTGTTAAACTTCTAAAACAAAATATTTGTGTACATTGTTTTATTGTAAGCAATTACCTGAATTTGTTCCTCGCAAAGGAAACAAATTATAAGAAAGATAATAATTGGAATCAGATGATACCAAAAACTTGGCCATTGACCTATTTGGAAAGAGATAACAAATGCACTAGCCATCATTAAATAGATGAAAGATGGTCCAATGACAGTACTACCTGTAAAATAATACTTAACGTTTAGATATAGATGTACAATATATATTTTTATTTTACGTTAAAAATAACTAAGAAGACAGTTACTTTTGAAATAGAAGGTATTGTATATACAATTATACTAGTATTTATTATAAATATTATAATTTTGTTTAATTATTTAAAGTTAACTACCTAATAAAATCCACTGATACATTATGTAGGGCAACGAAATATTATTATTTACTTTCCGAGTTTCCTTTGATGTACTCAATAAATCAAAGATATTAGCAACTGTTGATGGAATCCATCGACGGCGTTGAATGTAGAAATCTTTGAATGATTCTGGAGCATGCGTGTAAGCATCACCAGCTGCACAATATTGTATCTAATCGAGTAAAATAAAGAAAAGTTAAACCAAAGAAATTTTACGAAAATGCAAATTGAATAATAAAGAATCATCAATTAAACTTTATAGTTCAAATATTCTTACTTTACAACCAATTTGCAAGAGTAACGTACAAAGCCATCGATCTTCTCCTTGATCGTACTGAATATAATGTCTGGGCTCAGTCGGTGTAGTTGCATATTTTGCTATAATATTATGCTGCATTAAAGCCTTTGCTCTGAAAAGAGAGAAACAACCTGGGCTGCAGAGGACAGAACCTATTACGTGTTCTGTTGATTTTTGAAGCCAATGACCTAGCGCATATTCAAATTTCTGGAACCAAACCATCGGACCTATGTACAAAAATATATATATCTCTAACATGGTCAAAATGCGTTGATTTATTCATTTTTTAATAATTGTGTTATGCTTTTGTACAATATGTCCGCCTGAAATGTCTACACACAATTATTTCTTTAAATATTAAAAATACAAGAAAATATTTCAGATGAAACTTACATGATATTAAATGGGACATATCTCAGGGAAATAATTGTGTTTAGATATTTAAACCGAACATAGAGTAGAATACAGAAGTACCGCTTCCCACTGGATGTATTCGTCCACAGACTGCGCTTAATTCTTTATCTTTTTTCATTAAGTCTATTAATGCTTTAACAGCTTTTGGATGAAAATCGATGTCACCATCTAACGTTAAGATGTAAGTATTTTCTGCTGTTAATTCCTTATGCTCAATATTCATTGATGAACTCATTAAGCGATAGCCAAGAAGATAATACATGTACATGACCTATAATAATTTAATAACAAACATAGAATAGAAAAACATAACTTTCTTATTTTGCTTAATACGTATGTCATAAAATGTACCTGACTCCACCGTTTCCTGTGTCTTATTTTATTTTTATCCTTAAGGTGCACTATCAAACGTGACTTCCCTGGTAAAGTCCAAACCAGTTGACCGCCATAAGGTGTCGGACATTTTATTGGCGGTGACAAACATATACCACAAGTTTGTATCTTTTCTTGTATGGTTTCCATAAATGTTGCTACATACTGGTTTATCTGTGTTTCATTTTCATTGTGGTCACAAATTTCAGAACAACCATATTTACAGCGAAATGCATCGTCAAATAATATATGTGCTAAAATAATCGTTGAATTATATTTCTTCAATATTAACTTGTTACCAAAATAAATAAATTTAAATAATTTTGATTACAAATATTACTTGCTTTCAAGTTCATAATAATCTTTAATAGAAATTTTGTAGTATTTTTGTGTAACTTTCATAGCACATTGATCTTGATCTAGTCGTAATATACTTCCAATCAATTCGTTCATTTCTTCTTTGGTTTCGTGCCACATAGTCGCGCATGCATAAATTTGAGTGGCACAGATACTTCTTTTATTTATTATAGTATCATTTGAATATAGAGAATAAAAGCTTTGCATTTCTCTTAAGCTATCAATCTAAAAAGGAGTTTTTATTTTAAAAGTAATAATTAATGCAGTCTTACTTTCAGAAAAAGAGAAGAAATTGGACCTCGTGTTCTTTGACAGAATCTTCTACGTCGACGCTATTGGTTCTATGCTTCCTTTTATTTAATCCTATGAATTGATCAATCATAAGTGAATCGTAAGTTGAACTATAGAAAATTTTCTCCTTGAAAGCAAGTTTTTCTTTTTCATCAAACCATAAATGTTTTGTAATCCAAATTTGCGATAACCACCATATTATCCAGCACCAAATACGCCAACTTAGAACAAAATCTTTCATACTGCTGTAACTAGGTTCTTTGAAAAATAGGAAGTCTGGTATGAATTTATGAAAGGCGCACGAATCATCTTGTCTCATAACACAAAGTATTATTATTAATAAAATTGTTCCTGGGGTGGTTAAACTTAATGGAAAAGCAAAGCTGAATTTGTGCATTTGTGTTTTAAATGCAAATATTGCTGTAATGATATTAAAAACATTTAAATAGCATAAAATATAAGTTTCTTAAAATTTATGATTTTCATTTTGCATCTATTTATATTATTCCTGTAAAATTTTTTCTTACCTGACAGATATGTGACGAAAGTGCAGAAAATTTGAATTAAAAATATATTTAATGGTACAGAGGTATCTCCATTGATAATTAGATCTCTTTGTTGAAGAATATTTTCAGAATAATAATTGGATTCTAGTGTATTTGTAAGAAAAGAGTCATTTGAATTTTGAATTAATTCTACATTATATTTATTTTGACCTACACATTCAAAAAATTCTCGAATTTGAATCCCTTTAAAAATTGAAATCACAAGTCCGCATATAATAAAGATTAAAGATCTCCAAATTGCTACAAATCCTTGTAAAAAATAACAATTATTTCTAAGATCTGTATTTATCGTTGTCAACAACCTTATAAAACCTGTCCAAAGAATAGCAAAGTATTATAATTTAATGGTAACCACATGTATAATTATTGTTATTTAATCTTATTATTATTATTACATTACCAAAGTAACTGTGATCAGAAACATAATTTCGCCACCAACGACAGGAAGATAATAAGAGTGCTATAGGAAGAATCCATGTTATGGGATCGTAATATAAAAAGTTTTGTGAAAATAGTCCAGAAATTTGTGCAACTAATGCTAAAATATTACACAGCAGAATTAATAGACATATTGCAAGTGAACTTGTATCCCTTCGATTTTCAGAAAATAAACCTGTAATAAAAGCAATCGTATACTTTTCAACAATTTAGTTTATAAATGATTGTACTTACTTAGTAGAACAGGAATGAAACAAACACAACTAGAAATTGCTGCAGCATCTATGGAGTTCAATTTTGGAAGACTGTAGAATACTAAATGTGCTAAACCAATTGAATGAAGTGTCTCAATGATAAACAAAACTGCAATGCTTCGCTTTTTAGGCATTTTCTCTTTCTTTTTGAAAACAGAACACCATATAGATTGTAAAACATTGAAACCCTCTGGTATAAGAAACATAAATATAACGGTCCATGTCCAAATAATTATGCCTGTTCTTGATATTCTTGCTCTTAAGTTTTGATTAATATCTAAAATATAAAATATTGTTATAAAAGTCTATAATTATAAATTTCATTACATCTATAGGAAGAGCTTATAGGATACCTAAATAATCACAATATTCAATGGAGTTTTCTTCTTCAAGCTGAGAAATTGCAAATAGGACTGTACACTTAGCAACTAAACTGCTGCAAAGGACAATACAAAAAACGATGATATATACAAATACTTTAATAATGTGCATGGAAACATCCAACCATTGTTTATTTTGTAATGATGCACTTTTCTTTTCTATTCTGTAATATTTAAATGCATCCCATGGTAAAGCATCTTTTGAGATCCTAAAATTATGTACAATAATCATCAGTATATTTAAACAATATTTTAAATTGCAAATTATACAGTTAACTGGAAGCGTTTCATTCTTAAATACTTATATTGGAAAATCATGATTTTTGTAAATATTTAATTCGTGTAAAAATAAATAAATATAAATATAAATATTATTATACAATTAATTAATTCCCTTACGATTGTTCGGTTATTGAAGGCTCGTCTTCGATTTGAAAATAGTCGTCTGTATCACTTTCTAAATCGATGGACGACGATGAATTCAAATTTTTTTTTTTCTCTAACTTTGCCATGTCGACAATAGAATTCTATACCGATGTTTCATCGTTTGTGTCATCGGCTGCCGAAATTTTCATCGGCACATCAAGTACATCGATAAAACTGATAAGATTCCAAATTTCTCACAAATAATCCGTATTATCTATGATTTAAATAGTAAATATAGGGGACCATATACGGTTGGAAAGAAGATTACCTCAATGATATATTCTAAAATGCTCTGTAACTTTTTAAAAAGGATTTGAGTATTTAAAACAATTTTTCGTTATTTATTTAATATTTTGCAAGAAAAGAAGTATTAATTAATCAATACATCGTATTATGAATTTAAATTTTTGTCTTCTTTCGTCAAGGTTGATTTCAGAGTAAAGGAAATACATAAACGTTGAAAAATACTACATGTTAGAAAATTATATTCAAAGAGACCTTATTTTCAAGTAAAACTATAATTTTTTTTATTTGAAACAACCGTATACAAAGAAATATAATAAAAAATTCGTGCAAATTTTTAAATTTTAATTATTAAGTTTTTAATAAAGTAACTGAATGTTTCTAAGAATGAAATTAAATTATTTGAGTAAATGTTATTATTTTTCATTCTACAATCTTCTGAAAATTGAAAATCTTTTCTGAACACGGAAGTAATGTTCGATAGATACACTGTTGTTAGAAATAATTTCTTCTTGTGTAATGAATAATTGGACTATTTACGTAGGCAAAAGAAAATACGTATATAGATAAAATTTATGAAAGAATCCTAGTATTAATAAACGTACGAACGATACCTGTGAACTATACATTTCAAGTTTACCGCTGTGGGAGGTCGAAGTGAAATTCTTAATCGTGATATTCGATAAAAAGCAATCGATAATGAATGATCTCGTAGCCCCTTTTACGAGATAGGTTCCTATCTGTGAATTACGCTTTGTAGTTGATTTGTCAATAACCGAGGATAAAGTTAAATGCCGGATTAACTGATTCGGCATAATTTAAGTAAGTTAGAAAAGGAAAATAGGTGTTTAGGAGCGATGTGGCGCGTCCCGAAAGCTGGCTCTCGAGGCCGGAGCTTTTCTTGTTCAAATGAAAGTATTAATACCGAAGGTTGAAACATTTAACCGCGGAATACTCTCTTCAAGTACTATTTAAGTACTTTTCCTTGAAATTGCACGTCTTCTTCGGGGATAGATCCTCCCCGATAATTCGTTTATCTAAAAAAATGGCATCACAAAGTCAAAATGCTACAAACGTAAGTACAACTGTTTCACCGGCGAACGGATCATCCGGATCATCGACGACCATCTCGGTCTGTACTACAAAGATGCAGTCATTCGTTTCGACACCATCCTCGCAACCTTATCAACAACAACATTCGTCGCCATCATCGTCACCGTCGCCGTCGCCGATGCAACAACAACAGCAGCAACATCAACTGACTCTGCAACAACCAAACAATGTAGAGGCACTTGACAAGAATTCCTCCAATACGTTAAAAGTATGTACCCAATGATACAATTGTCACCCAAACATATTCTACAGTTTAAATTTTATTTATTATTCATAATGTACACATTAAATTATAGAATTGTTGGCGTTAATCTTTTAATTTTATTTATAGCGTAATCCAAAAATGGAATTGAGTAAAAGTGATTTATTAAAACTATTAGGACATCTAGAAGGAGAGTTGCAGGCCAGGGATATTGTAATAGCAGTATTAAAGGTAAGCCTTTTTTCTAATTAAGGAAAGAATTATTAATCCTTTTGCTGCGGAAGATTCCAATACAAAGTGCACGCTGTGAATGACAAATTTTAGCAAAGTTAGAGCTACACATGAACAATTGTTTTACACAATGAACATTTACGTTCGCCAAATGTCCATAGACATTCATTGTATAAATTGCATTGAACAACCGAAGTGTCTAAAGCATTCTAAACAAATTTTTTTCTATGTCTATTATTAAATATTCGATGTCTTTATTTTCTATGTCTATTATTAAAGAACAAAACAGATATTATCTTTATCATATTTTTGATCATTGTGCATTTTGTAGTCGGAAAAATTAAAACACCTATTGAGTTCTCGATATCTGAGTGGAACTTCAGATCCACATGCTGCACTTGCTCGTGATGTAGCATTAGTGGGTGGTGTAATGAGACACGAACCACGTCAAATAGATCAACAAGTAGCTAGTTTAGAAGCACTTGTGACACAACAAAGACGTATGCAGTCTAGAATGACCAAAGTTCTTAAAGAAGCTGAACTTAGGCACAGAGCAGTATGTATTCATTTAAAATTTAAGACCCGCTATATATTATTAACAATTTTTGTTCTAATCAAAATGTATAATTACTTTATTTCAGGTAATCAAGGAATTAGAGGAAGAAAAACGAAAACACGAGCATGATACTGCTCAAGGCGATGATATTACGTATGGACTGGAAAAAGAGCGAACACGATTGAAGAAAGAATTAGAGTTAGAGAAGCAAGAAAAAAAAAGACTGGAACTAGAGATAAAAAAGGCGAATGACACTTTAGAGGAAGAAAAAACTCGACAGAAGCAAGTAGTACTTCTTTTGTTGGCTGAACGTAAGAAAATAATTATGAAATACATAGAAGAAAGAAAGAGATCGGAAGATTTGGCGCAGATACTAAGCGAAGAAAAAGTACGAATAGATTCCATGGCCGAGGGACTCGAAGAAGAAAGCAAGAAGTCATTGCAAATGGAAGCAGAATTAGAGAAACAACTTGCGCAATTTGACATGGAAAGGCAGCAATATAGGCAAGCTTTAGCAAAGGAAGAAAAAAGGGTTAAGGATCTTGAACTAGAATTAGATAAACTTAGAAATGAAATGGATGTATTAAAAGAGTCTCAAACTCGAGGCTCTCCAAGAGGAGTGGGTACGACTCCACCACCTCCTCCAGTCAAACCAGCAAACTTAGTTGCTATGCCTACAGTTAGGCCTGCTAGTGCTCCACAGACAAGTATGTAATATACAATAATTATTGTTAAATGTTATATAAAATAATGCAATATTAATTTATTAAACATTAGTAGCAAACAAATAGTAACATTTATGTATGCTATGGTAATCAATGTATTAATATAAGGCAATTAATACACTGATTAATTTTTACAACTATACTTTGTACACAGTTAAAGGTACAGTACTGGGCACTGGGACACCAATGGTTAGTAGCAAAGTTGTTCAACCCACTGCCACGGTATCTAGTGTTCCTGTCAGCGGTCCAAGTAAGAATAGCATGTCTTACCATAAAGATGAAATATAATATAAACGATTTAAATATTTTGAATGCATTTTCTCTAAGAGAATGATTGTGTCACATGACAATGGACGAAATAACAAATTACATTCTGACAGTCAATTGAAAAATAAATGGTAATCGGAGTTCTTGCTCATAAGTATATAAAAATGCATTCAACGTTAATATAAATCTGTTATTTATATGATAGAAATGATACTGTGTTTGTAATTTATCATTTAATGCTGATAAAAATAAAATATTCAATACTTTTAGTGTATAATACTACAGGTATTTAAAAACTAAAAGCAGTTGGTAATATCTAAAGCGAACTATAATTTTCTTATAGCTACTGGTATTGCTAGATCAGTAACTCCTGGGCAGGCACTACGCGGGGTTACATACGCGTCGAATATAACATCTACTAGCGGGGAGACTGTGACTTCTGAAACCCAGGTAAATTATCCTCATTTTCCTTCTCACTCTACTTTAATCTGAGGATATTACACATTACATATTTGTACATACACTTAATGTAAGAGAATTTTTTTTAATAATATAGGTTTTATGATATTAAAATATTTGGTACGTTTTATTTCAACATATTATGTTGATTTTTAATACATCATTATTTTTTATGCACCGAACTTGTATCAAAACTATAGAAATTTCATTAAGTACAATATAATAGTTAATGATATCTTTTGGAATGGAAAACAAAAAGATACTTAAATTATATATATATTTGTGTGATACGAGAATTTATTAAAAAATATTAAATTGTGGATTCGTATCACGTTTCGGAAGACATAATTATATTACTATATTGACTTGTAGATCAATATAAATAATTTAGTATGATTTTAATAGTCGATGATAGAATTTTATTAACAAATCAATGAAATTCAAGATTATATGAAACGAATAAGATTTTTTATTATAAATCTTTAATCAGCATTGAACTTGTGCACAAAAGTGATCATACAAACGATATTTTAAAGTGCAACATATTACTAATGACAGCAAACCGTTTTTGCGGTTAATTGAGAAATAATTACATTAACTTACTAGATGTTATATTATTTGATTATTATGTTATGGCATATTATAATCGCGTAAGGTTCTCTAGTCTTATCTTTTATAAAAATTGAATGTTATGTATAATATTTGCATTATATAATTATTGCATGATAACAAGAATAAACATAAATATGTCTTATCATCTTTTTTTTTAGAGAACACAATTGTTGCATATTTTTTTTTTTTTTTTTTTACTTTTTGTATTGTTTTTAATGAATCAATGTAACAAACAGAATCTGCTTTGGGGTAAAACTGGTTCATTTCTTCTTCTAACACACGGGTATGTTATTGATCATATTTATCATGACGATACATAAAGAACAATGGGTACAATTACTAAGCTAGGTAGAAAGAAATCGATGTATATATTCAGAATAACAGTACATTACAATCATTAGATACTTTCTACATTTTTATACAAGGTATGGAAGTAAAATGTAAAATACACTAATTATGTAAAAATATAAAATGAAGGTAAACAGTAAATCATAAGTATAAATGCATTAATGCTACATGCGCGCATCTTGTAGATGCGTTGCATGTACGCATACCCCAATCCGATACATATTTTTTAATTACTATGACGTTATTTTGGATTGTCCTTCATTAATTATACATTATATGAAAATTATATATTACACTGATTGTTGATGCATAACACAAAATCCATTTCGTGGTGTACAGTTATAACTACAATTAGATATTCTTTATTTAGGTAACATTGAAACTCGCCTTTTTTTTTATTTTGGATTGTACATTCAAAGCTTTTCATTATTTGTAAAATTTAATTCATATTGATTATGACCACACTGTATTGTTTTATATAAGTTAGTACACCATCAAATTTTAAATCTAAATTGTATTATGCTATTCTTATTTTGTACATAAGATTACTATTTAGTATGTACATTGATTATTTCCTTAATTAAAAATTGTATGCAACTCACTTTTGAGCTTTATTTACAAATTTTCCCTGCTTGCCATCCTAATTGCAACCTTGTATTTGCTATTGCTAACTTTACATGGTTTGGTTGTTTACCTGTTATTTTTCTCAAGTTGTGTGATGTATTATCCTAACGAAAAAAAAAGTAGATTTATCATACAATCTTTGTAGTAGAAGGTTACAATTCTTCAAATTCTTCAAATTACTATTATCAGTATCTTTTGCTTGCTAAACAAATCTTATATTACCTATAAACAGTTCGTTTTACCATAATATCAGTAAAATATATGTATCATATTAATCTATGACTATATTGTTAAACTGCTCGTTGTTTCTAGGAATCAATATTCCAAACATAGTTTAAAAATTGAGAAAAACACACATTAGATGTTTAATTAGGTAATAAGGTGATCTCTTTCCAAACATTCTCAAACTCCTACCATTCTGAATCACTCAAATTGTTATTTTTTTTTTTCCTTTTTTTTTTTGTTTACTTATTGCTTTGAACCGGTGTCTTGGTATAATTCTCTCCTCTTTTAGTTTACCGTAGATGCAGCTAAATCTAGATATACCCTTATGGTGGGGTGTTTCAAAGGGATAGTCCCAAGGTTAAATCGGTTCTCGTGTGTATTCATTCCTCAGGCTGTAGACAAACGTGTGGTTGTACCTGCTCCTGTTAATCCCGGAGGCGCGGTAAAACATATACCGCCGACACAAACTACCGGAAAACTTGGTTTTCACGTTGGCTCCGGTTCGGTGGTTCAAGCATCTGGTATGCTGCACTCGAAAAAACCACCGATATCTCGCGGCGTTCCTCCTCCAGTACCGCCGAATAAACCGGTAGTACCACCTAAAAAGGAGGCTGCTTATCTTAGGAGGACCGATTCGTCGCAATCGACACAGGACGCCGTAAAACTTGGTAAACAAACCGCGGTGCATCCTGCTAGCGGATCCACCGCACCGCAAGTGCAACAGGCAATAGCGGCCTTTACTCAAGCCTCCGATGAAGAGGTTAGTAACGCCAGCACCTCTCTATCATTCATCCAATTAACCTGAACGGATAATCAAACTAGATCTCAAGTACCAATCTCTTGTATCCCATTTTCTTATTACATTCTTTCCTTCTATAAATTTGAGAAGACTCATCGGGTTCCCAAGAAAGCTACCTTTTTACACTACCACTACAAATTCTTTACACCACTTTATCAGGAAGAAAGTTGGACGAACGGTCGATTGAAATTTTATCTTTTTTATTTTCTTCTGAAGGAGACTCGGATCGAAAACGAAAATCCGACATAGTCAATACACATATTATTTATATAATTTAGATATTTTTTTTTCAATATCTCTTATCTTGTTATACCGTGTACTCGATAATAATACCTTTGTAAAGGAAGCTCTTATCGAAATACGAAACGTCTTACGGGAAAGGAATGTAATCTGCGTGATCTCGTAATGCCCGATTATGACTATAACTAATCCCAGATACAAAATGCTCTATGATATAGGATATTTGTATTGCTTTCGAGAAAGGTTGTAATTTCTAAAACGATTAAAATTTCGTTCTTCTAACAAATCTTTAAAACCTGTTAGTTTTAATTTTACGTTTAATATGTCCTCGTTTTAATGTTTATGTTGCTTTGTTACTAAGTAAACGTTGGATGTGGTCCAAGTATATATATATATATATAACGTTATTCGAGAAGACGAATTGCAGAGAATGATTCGAAATCAAGGAATTAATTTAAATCGAAATCGACGAATTAATTTAAATTGTTCGAGTAATTTTTTTGGGTGCCTGATGAATCGAAATTTCTTTAATATATACATGAATGCAATTCAGAGCTCGTGAATGTGATTTCAGACAAAGCCACGTTGATTTAACAGCGGGGTAGAAAAAGAAAAGTAAGCATTACTTAAATTTAAGAAAAGTCTGAATCCTGTATACCGTGAAAAAAAAAAGAAAAGAAAAAAAGTACTTGAGGTAGCGTGTTGGAACTACTCGGCGCGGGATCCATAACGACGTTTCTAAATCAACGAAAAGAAACGCACGTGCCCGAGACTACTTGTTCATCGATTGATTTTACTCCGCGTACATAAGATATCGTTATCTATATCGCTAGATCTCGCAGTCGGACGGATCTGTGGATCTGTCGACGATAATCGTTGACACGACACGAACCATGCTTGTAACATTGTACTATAGTCAAAAGAAAAAAAAAAGGAAAAAAAAAAAAAATCGAATCGAAATCCGATCGTCTGAACTATTTAAGGTAGACTCTTGTAGATTCTGTAGTTTATTAACCGCGAGTTTTTTCCGAATTACGTTAAAAGTCATTAGGTAAATTAGTAACGTTGTAACGTGTTATTCGTAAGAAGGAACGATATGCTGTTATTGACAGTGAACGTGAATAATAAATGTTTATGCAACAGGGAACTAGACTGTATAATGTGTTAATGAAAATAAATACTTGTAGGTAGGGGAAGATACGAAAGGGTCATTTTAGCGTTAAATTTATCCGAGTATACGAAGTACGATTCATTTTAACGTATTGCTTATTCTTTTATTGTTCTCGCTTTCACATTGGTAATCGACGAACGAGGTAACCGTTATCTCTTAGAACGTAAAATATAATAAGATTTAATTAACATTTCCTTAAGACACTTGGGTTGTAAAGTCAAGCATCGAAAATGGGCACGTTATTGAGAATATTTTTACGATTCGTCGTTTGATATTATTATTGCGGACTCAAGACTATCAACGATGTTAATTTGTTAATTATAATCGATCGACTTGACGTGAAATGACCTCAAAAGTATATGCTATAATCACTGCCTTGCCTGACATAATTACATGTATCGCCAATATACAAACATATGGTACACCGATACAAATTTTGAACGAATTTATTCGCGACGAAGACATTAAGACGGATAATCAGTGTTTTTACGTTTGCGAAATCTATCGATCATTTCTGAGTACAGGGATCTTGAAATACTGCAACACGGAAACCGATCAGTTGCTTTACTTTCGACAATATGTACTTAACGCGAAGAGTAGTATTATTTTAGATTCACGCGACCATCGGTGTCCGTCAAAGGCTTTTTAAATATATCTATCGACGAAAACAAATTCTATACGTAGGAAGTAATTTATTTTCTACGCATTTCTATAAATACATCATCGGATTTTAGAGGAGCAATATTTTCCAATAATGTGGGCCAGTCACGCAATAATGTTGAATATTAATAATAGCAGTGACGGATCCGCAGTGTTCTGTAAGATGCGTCGCGTGTGGGTAACGAGCGATTTCTGAGTCAAAAATTAGGCAGCATAATTCCTAATATTTTTACGCGATGATTGCTCCATCAACTTATTAACACATAAGGTCGAGCAAACGCTGCATAATTATACGGCTTTTTATCGCCGGCAACGCGAGAGGTTCACGAACAATGACCATGCGAAGATATTAAGAATGATTTTCGGCTTAGAAATTCTTTTATTCGTCGTGTACAGTGCATCTTACGAAATTTCTGTACGCAAATTTCGTTCCCACAATGTAGAGTTTATAACAAGGACATGAATAAAATTATTCGTTTGTACACACAGTTTCTCTTGTATAAATTATAAATGGATGGAATTACGTTCTCATAAACTGTGAAACATGTACACGAAATGTATCGAATTATTTAAACATGTATCTTATCTCCTTTCGTACTTCAAATTGCGACCATGATTTCACGAAACGTGCGAAACTATTCAGCGTGTAACAATACTTTATGACGATTGTTTTTATGCGAGTTTTGTTAGACGTACGTTTGCTAGTCGTCTGTTACAGCTTTTCGAGAATTTTTCGTATCTAATGCGTAAATATCGTCCGCGTTTCTCAAGAATGATGCGCAACCTCCTACGTTTCTTCATACTTTGTGAATACTGTAGAGCAATCCAAGTTGAAAGATTCGTGTAAAAAAAACCGTTAGTTAAGCAAAATGGATATTAAAGAGTAAAATCTTCCTTCGATAACACCAGTTGATTATTACTAAAATTTTGTAAAGATTAGAAAAATTTAGTGCCAACAAAGTAGTTTTTCTCAACAGAGATGGGCACATTTTATACATAAGACAGTTTCGAACAACGAATAAAAGATAACGAAATTCGTATCTGTTATTTGTTGAATAAACTTGGGTATTATCGTGTAAGATACAAATTCGTACAAGTTGCACTTTACGCAAGTTACTCGGATAATTCAAATAAACACACAGACGAAGATGAAAATTCTGTTCGAAAGCGAAGGTAAATGTTTCATCGAACGAAATAGGTATCTTCGTTTCCCGAATAAATCCGTCTATCCGTCACACAGCGAATAAAGATAGCCGGGTTATTCGAACCCATTCGAACGAAAGATAATTATCTTCTGATCATCTTTATTTAAAGAGTGCCCAACTCTGCTTCCCAATAGTACTCGATAAATTTTTAAACTGTGCATCCTTCTGTACGTTTTCTTCCAACTCCTTTTATCCCCGTTGTACGTCACACGAGAAGTTCCCGTCTTCTGCGACATATACCATTATATCACGGCATCATGTTTGCTTTCTTTCGAAGCAACAGAAACATTTAATTAAAGAAGAGGACGAAGCAGCGCGATTCCGATATCTTGTAATCAGTTGTTTTCGTTTAATGCAGAATCATCGCAACAAAAAGCGACAGATATCCGAGCAGAAAACTATGATAGAAAAGCGTTGCGAGTCCACGACGAAACGAGCGCGAAATTAATTTACGCGGGAAACGCGAGGAACGCGGGGCCAATTAATAAAGCCTAAAAGCGTCTGGCGGGATGTCGGGGGGACGGTAATTAAAAAGGAAAGGTGGAACAACTGTTGGAACGAAAGTTGCTCGCGCTGTCGTCGTCGGATATGAAAAGGTCAGACGGAAAGAAAGCGCTTAGGAGGCAGCGTCGCAACAACAACTATCAACGAAACGGGCCCGAGGGAAGTGAACAGAAGAAGGAAAGAAAAATTGGAGGTCTATGGACGATTGCGAGCGCAAGGGGGGTTAACGCAAGAGGATATACAGTATACGTGTATGCATCATCGCGCGTATAACCGCCGCGAAACTGAAACTGTCTCAAGAACGAAGAAAGAGAAAGCACTAGAGATAGCATCGGGTCACATAGTGAGGAAGATGACCAAGAGGAGCGAGGGTTACGCGGAAAAATTTTCGAGGGAGACAGACAGAGGAAGTGGCGCGAGAGAGGGACGGGATAGGGCAGAGGGAGGAAGGCGAGAGCAGAGGTGGGTGTAAAAGGTAAGCAGCGCGTAAAGCGCGTGCGCTCGTCGCCGGCTAGGTTGCCCGATACACCTAGCACCTACCGGGCCGTGCAAGGGGTTAGGGGACGAAGGGAGCGGGGTTAACATCAGAGGGAGGATCAGCGAGAGCGAGTAAGCGAGAAAGTGAGCGGGACGAGCGCGAGCAAGACGGGATAATAGTCGGAAGCGTGAATGGAAGAGAAATAGAGATAGGCGAGCCGTGACAGTCGATGGACAAAGAAACGAGGTTCGAGTGATCCTTGCGCGGTATGAGGTTTGCATACCTGGTCGACGATTCCTCAGTATCGTCCTACGTTTCGTTCGCGACGGGGCCCTTAGGCTCCATTCTCTAGCGCGCGCGGCTTCCGACACTCTGATGCACCCGGTGCTACCGGCACGTTGCTGTTTCCTGTACAAGGCGCACGCGTTTTTTGGCGGCCTCGCGTTCACGCGATCAGTGATATACGGCTACCGAGGACAGGAGAGCTTCCGGTCACGGGCGATGTGTGCTTTTTCGTATTCTTAAGTAACAAACCGTAGGAATACGAGGAAGCGGGTGCCGGGGGTTGACCAGGAGCGATCAGATAATCCCTACACGTACGTACAGTAATAGTTCTCGATTCGATAGATCCGAAAAGTGGCTGATTCTCTTGTCGTTGTTGTCGTTCGATGTACCGTGACCGCGGGAGACCGAGTGACTTAGTGTTTTTTTTTTTTTTTTCTTGTTTTGGAAATACGTCCGGAGATGATCGACGAGTAACGTTAGTAATAAGCAATCACGCAAGCAATACTTTTTATCCGTCGTCGATGATAGTTTGTTTTCGTCCCTTAAGGCGTAGAGTATAAGAGTTTATTGTACTTTGCGTGCCGTTTACACGTTTCACGGTGATATAATTTGGACGGATGACGATAAGTGATAGAGTACAATCGTAGGTAGACTACCCGATCATACCTTGATGCGAGTAGGTTGTTTAATAATTTGTACAGATGGTATCGATGTTTCTAAAGATCGTTTTGTTGAAGTTTTATGTTTGTCCGTGTTTCTTTTATTTTTTAATCGTACCGTTTTTCTAGCCGTCCCTTTCGCGGGACTTTTTTTTTTTTTTTTATTGTTATTACGTTCTCGAATCATATTTGCGTGAATTAGTTTCCTTGTAGATATAGATCTCTCACTGTACTTCAATTTATGGGAAGAATAAGAAATGTTATGTATATATCGTAAGAATGTTACGTATTATAAAAATCGAAAACACGTAGTAGTAAATAGTGCGGCATGTTCCTCGTTTACGTTCCATGTCCTTTGAAGCGCACAAAATTTTGGAATTTGAATGCATTATTGACGTCAAGGACTTTAAACGTATAGAAAATTAAAAAAAAAAAAAGAAATGATGTACCGCCAAAATTATGAGAATATACGATATTAATAATACAAAAGCAATTTAGAGTAAAAACGTTTCACTAATCCCGCAAAACGTTTCCTATTCCTTTTCTATCATTGATTCGATACACCGAGATTTTCTCTCTCCTCTTTTCATTGGTATTCTTCCGAGGTGCGATGTAGATTATAAACTTCATTGTTCTAAAAGGAAGGTTTTAAACCAAACTTGGTTGCAGCGGAAAATTGTGAAGTTCTACGGAACTTCCGATCCATAATTAGGTTAATATTGCCTTCGATGCATGCATTACGATCTCCTTCGATTACACAAGGACTATTCCTATGTAAATTTCTTGCCGTACCGAATCAGTATCTATTTTCTCAACGGATGAGTTTTTTCAATATTCGAACATTGTAGCATTTATTATTAAATAACGAACGACATCACTTTTCCGTGTAACGATCGTCAAAAATTTCTCGTCAATTCTCCCTACCGTGATCAAGAATACGAAAAATCGTTGACCCATTTCTGTGACACCGCGAGCATGACGTAAACAGTATTTTAAATGCTAAAACAATATGACTTCTCCGAACAATATAATTATGACTGCGATTAATTAAACATAAAGAAACGAGGTTCCCATGGTCGACATTGCGTTGCATCTCACGATGGAGGGAACACACTCGTGCAGCGTGTTTGGTAACGTCACGCACGTCAGAACCTATAAATCCACAAAATACGCTTCCGAGTTCCGGTTTCCACGCATAAAACTAAATCCATTTTTCTTTCTGTTGCCTTATTCGCGACATCGCGGTGAAAGTCGCAGTTACGGATTAATAACGTAAGATGCATTACTATACTCACGGCGGATAGATCAAATTAGCATTCGAAGACGTAATATTTCGCGTACCTGAATCGCTCGTTGGGAAAACGAGTAATCATTGAACATACAATAATAATGAAATACAGACCACTTTTAGGACGATCTTTCGCCAACAATGCTCTCGCTTCTTTAATCGTTCCTAATTAAAACGATCCGTACGCCTCGGCATAATTAAAATTCAATTTTTGTCATCAATTTTTTTCTGGAAGTAGTTTTGAAACGTCCATTCGATCCGAAACCATTGTAAAAGTTATTCTCGATCCTTAACTAGATAAACCATCTTTATGAACTTTTACAGACGAGGTTTCTAGTTTGTAATTATTTCTAATTAATATTAATATTATACTCTGTGCCATAAATTACTGGAAATTCAGTAAATGCAAAATAGAAACAAATTGACATAGTGAATGCAAACATTTTAATTTGTTTGTCTAGCTTAATTTTACATAAATAGACGTAAAATGGGGTAATAAGATCATATCAAAAAATTGTATCATCTGAATTTTCTAAATTAGACAAATGTTCGGTGTTTTATGAACGTCGGTGTACACATCTAGTATTCACATTACATTTTGTATATTTTTTACCCTCGTTCGGATGCATTTTTGAATTTCTCTACTCCTGTACGATTTTACAAAAAAGTATTCCAAATACAAAAATTCTCTATATAAAAAAAAAATTCCAGCCAAAGCACACGCGCACACACTCGACGAGCAAACTTGCGCAAAATATTGAATTGCAGAATAATATTTCGAGAAGCGACGACTAAATTTCTCATGCTCGGGCCCCAACAATGCCATAATTATAAACGACGACATAGGAAATTGACATCAGCGGTAAGATAAGCGCGTGTTCTTGTCTTTCTTTTCGTCCGTGGTTAGTTGTGTTTTTTTTTTATTTCGGGCGGACATAAATATTTCATAAGTAAGCCGGAAAATTATCCTCATTATTTTATTATTAAGCCCGTAACGGATAAACGCGACGGGGGTAGGCGCCGTACACCGTTGCAGAAGTCCTTTCAGAAAGTGTTCGCGTGTGTGCCAGCCGGAGCACGTGTGCTTGTAATTTCACTTATGTCATAGCTCCACTACCACACCGTCGGACACCCTTCTTTTTTTTTCGTCGGTACGACGCGAGAGAACGCAGGACAATCGGCGTTTCTCTGGTCTGAAAGAGAGGTCGCGTAGTCGGAATCGCATGTGTGAAACGCGGCGAGTGTCCTGTGAGGTCGTAGGTGGCCTCCGATGTGTGGCACCAGGCTCTCGATGTTCTAGCGGCGAAAGTGAGCTCGTCTTCCGGATCAACGCCTGCTTGATAAATCGTACGAGCCATTCGCCATGCTTCCGTCTCGCGTAATGGCGCGCAATGCACATAATTAAATACGTTAAAATCGATTCGGAGCGTCAGCGCGATATTTCACCATCGAACGCGGAATAGTTTCGCGTGGCAACGTCCGTTTCTTTTCGCTTTTCTCGATATCGTCCGGTTTAGAATTCTGTCATTAACGTCTGTAAAAATGACTCGTCCGCGTCCGCGTTTCGTAACTTCTCCCATTTCGTCGTCCTCGTATAATTAATATTTGTTAGTAGACGTACTCTATTAAAGTCCTCGCGAAACCGTTCGGTTAAATTTACAAACAAATTGCAGCGTCAAACGGCCACGCGAATGCAATCCCGAAGCGCGGGGGGATCCCTTTCGGTATCCCCAACTATTTATTATCAGCGAAATGAGAAGCGTTTTGCGGAGAACCGCTTTTTCTGCTATCGTAAACGTTAATCATAGCCGTTACTGTTTCGACATTATTCCATCGGAACGACAATCTTGTCGAAAATTATACTCCTCGGGTAGAGTTCCACAAATATTCGCGCCGACGACCGCGACACGATTCTTCGTTTGAGCATCGGATTACAACGTAAATTAACGTTTACGACAGTTTATTGGCCGGAGTCGTGTCGACGGATCCCGCGACTCGTTTTCTACATGACTCAATATCGGTTGCTGGTCGGTTCGCTGCTTTCTAAGATCTTCTGCCGGGGAGACCGGTAATCAGATTCGTTCTGTAATATCTCGACGATCTTCGTTGCTGGCAAAGGCGTCGGTGAGTGGCCCCAAATGACCTTTCTTCTGCAGTCGGGATCGTAAATGCGGGCGGATTCTCCCTGACTTAGGGTCAACGCCGAGACGATGCCGCGGCACCGCGACGGTAGG